CCGACCCATGTCAAAAAGTCCGCACATGCAGGCATAATTTGCAGAGAATCGGAGACGTGGACGAGGGTCTTAGGTTCGTGGAATAATGATGCTGGCTTCTTGACACATTTGAGTGCTAATTTAGGAGTCTCGCACATGACCATGGCCAGAAATGCATCGATTATGGAGAGCATGGGAGAGGTGGCAACGATCATGATTCTGCACAAAAAAAAACAAAACAAATTTAAGCTAATTAAAGGCAATCATATTTGGTTCTTTGTTTGCATATATGTATGTATTTCTAATTTTGAAGGGATTGCTATTTATTTTATTTATTTTAGGGTTTCTACTTTTTCAGTTCTACTCTGGAATAGATTTTTGTGTTACTAAAGTTGATTTTCCGGTGAAATTTGTTTTGTATATTATAGATAATGTTATTGGTATCTCTAGTAAATATTTGTAATTGTAAATTACATTCCATAAAATAAAAAACTTTTTCCTTAAGTATGGATTAATAGCAAAGTAAAGTAAATACCGAAAATGAGACCATAATCAACACGGGACATTGTATACACTGTGGGACCCCCGCCACACCCCCTGCCACCCCGCGAGCACCCCCTTTGTAACAACCAGACAGACATTTAACGATAACACCCAAAGATATCAAAATCGAAATATCGTTAGACGGTCCCGCGCAAAATGCTTGACAAGCATAACAAACACAGGGTACATGAGTCCCGAGTCCTGGGTCCTGGATCTCAGCCTGGGTTTTATGATGGTGACGACCACCCAGAGTACCACCCACAATAACCCCACCCCCCGCCAACCGCCCACTGCGACGCATTCAACATGGCGTCTGTTGGTGTTTCGCTTTCTGTTTCGCTTTCCCTTCGACAGAGCCAAGGGGGATTCCCCCGGTTCGGTTCGTTTCGTATCGTTTCGTTCCGTTTCGGTTTCGGTTTGTGTGCGATATAAACGAAGTTTACCAAATAAATAAAAGCTACAGCCCCGCTTCTCGTCTAGCGATTGGGTTGCAATATATCGCGTACGTGCTGGCATGCCATAAATATGTGGCCCATGTAGATGCGAGGCAACAAAATTATATTTCTGTTTGTGTTTGCAACAATTTATTTTTCTCTCTCCCACCGAATCCCCCCTCCCCCTCCCCCCTTGCCACGCCCACCGTGGAGATAAAGCGAAAACATTTTTCCAGCTCAACTCGCTGCGCAATCGATAACGATGGGGGAGACAAAGGAGTCGTCGAGCCATCGACACCGGGACACCGAAGGCAGGAGGACTTCCCCGGCCGGGGTGCCCCGGCTTATTAGGTATAGTGTGCCGAGGATCCTGGAGGTAAACTTCTAAATATGTAGTGCAAGCAAATTTGGCCAGAGACCGCAGCTTGTGGCGAAGTCCGAAGAAGGAGCTGAGTCCGTGGCCAGCCCATATCCTTCCATATTTGAGTTGCGCCCAGGACGACGGTACATCGCCCTTTTGCATGCACGTGGAAACCGAATAAAAGATTTCCACAAATCTGTCTCTCCACTCAAATATGTACTGAAGAATGTGCACATAACTAAACTGAGTTAAGCATAAGAACAAAAGTTATATAGATACATATACATACATAGATGCAATTTTTAAAACGTAGGTACATAAACTTAAACAGTACACAAAACAAGAAACTTTTAGTTATCTCTAAATACTTTTATTTTAAATTGCATATTTACTTAAAAAAAAAACTTTTAGTTTTCTTTAAGTACTTTTATTTTAAATTGCATATTTACTTTTATAAAATTTCTCGCGTAAACAGTAAAACAATTTAAATAAAATAAACCTTTTTTATATGCAACATGTACGTACATCTAATATAATACATCAAGAAATTATTTAAAATAAAGGGAATATCTTAATATAAATAATCAATTTCAACCTGTTATCTAAATTTATTAAAATAAATTTTTACCATTTTTTATAGCATATCAGATTTTGAAAAATATTTCTTCGGCACCTTGAAAAACCTAATTCCATTGTTGAATGACGACCTGCACTCAGGAACAGTACAAAGAAAAACAAAGAAACTTTGGAGGAGAAGGAAAATGGCAGCAGAAAAATCGGAGCACAAGCAACAAGCCAACAAATTTAAAATGTGAAAACTTGGCAAGTAGTTGAAAGTTGGCAGCAGGCGAACGAACCGCAGTCGCCGGAGACTTCGGGGAGTTTGGAAAGTGGGGAAAATTCTTTGTCTACCCCGCAGTGAAGGGTGCAGGTGCAAACAGGACTGAGATACGGGCACAGGACTCTGACTTCGGATAAGGACTCGAATGCGGATACGGGACTCGATGATTTGATGTAGCTGAAAATTTGCCGCTGAGATTTTCTTTGTGGTTTCGACTTCTTTTGATATGAGAGCATTTTCCAACATGGTGCACACTCGAGAGCAGATTCCCCCAATCCCGGCGCCTGTCATTTGCCAATTCAACTAAAACTTCAAAGAACCCGGAGCGCATTCTCCTGCCCGGAAAAGTAATCCCCGAAGTCCGTCGCCATTTTGGACTGGGTCGCAACTCACGCCCACAAAGGAGTCGCAACCACAAGTTTGAGCAGGAAGTGGGTGTTATGAAATATGACGAGATATGAACTAATATTCCACCCTTAGCTTACTCTTCCGATTTTGCGCAAACGCGATTGCTGCTCGAAAAAAAGTCTTATCAAAACTGGTCAACCATTGGCCGTAACAAAATGGCTTCAATATGGAAGATATTTTTATATCTCATACAGTAAAAGTATATTTTATCTGACCGTATGAACGTAGAAATTAGAACTATAATATTGGGATTCAAATTATAGAATGAATTTAATTTTTCGCAGCGCAAGTTCATTACAATTTGGTGCCACGCCCACAAACCGTTTAAATCTGTGCCGCGATCAGTTCTTATGTTATTGCAATTTACGACTACTTTTACTCTCACCAGATTATAGGGCGTTTCAGCACTGCTTTAAATAAATTTTAGTATTACTCAATACGAAAAGTACAATATGAACTTATAACCTAATAAGCTTTTTACCAGGATGTTAAGATTCAAACTAACCGCAAGGCACTTGGCCAAAATGCCAATCAAACTAACGCTGAGCAAATATTATCACAACAAGGCCGCAGAACAATGTGGAGGCCATCAATCAAACGGCACTCGGCAGCCAAACCAATCATCCATTTATCCATCTATCCATCCAACCAGATCTTGGCCATCCAATCACCAATTCGCTCAGGCGTTTCAGGCCAGAACAACAACAATTTTCCAATTAAGCGACCAAAAATTTGAGCATATGATGATTATTGACGATAAGAGTCGGACACGAAGCTCCCATCCGCCCCAGGAATCCCAGTTGGTCTGCCAAAATGTGCAAATAAATCGCACAATTGTCCGTCCGTCCGTCCGTCCGCTCGTCCTTTTCGGCAGGATTCCCTGCTATCTGCGAGCATCGAAACTAAAAGTTAGCTGCGGCCACGCCAAACCAAAACAAAGAAACTTTCATTTCCAATTTTCTTGATGTATTAAATTATTTACGCCCTCTTGAGCAGGGGATTCGTGTGCGTGGCACTCATATGTGCGTCTTGAGATAAATATATACGTGTTTTTGCTATACATATATGTACTCATTACATTTCATTGAAAGTAATATATTTTCCTCTTCATAGTAGACATTTGAATGGCGGACTGCAAATATTTATGATACAAAAATTAATTGAAATAATTATAAAAAATTTTAAACTCCTTCATTAATTTTAAAAATAGGTAAACCCACACTTATGTATAATAGTACTAAATAAGTATTGCGATTGAGTTAAATATCAATTAAAGTGAATCAAAGAGTACAAGGTGCCCTTTCAAATTATTTGATTACATTTTTATTATCATGTGTACAAATAATGTTTTAATTTAAACTACAAAATTATGAATAGCTTAATGTATTCCAAGAAGGACTACTTATGTATGTTCCCTGAAACCTTGAATTATAGTTATATATAAAGTGGATATATAAAACTTATAGTCGAAGCTTTGCAACCGAAACCAGAATTGGAATATATTTTACCTGAAATATTTTTAATTGTCAATTAGACTACATCCACTTCTAAGGGTTTATATTGCAAAGGTTCGAACTAAATATATAAATAAATAAATATAAATATTATCTGCTTATCTATTACTCTTCGTGTATCCAAATGATACCAATTATCGTTATCTCTATGGAAATCACAATCAGGCGAGAGTGTCTCAGTCACTTTTCACTGCGACTTAATTGTCATCAAGTTGATCCGCTCTGCTCTTCAAAAGCGAATCGCTAAGCTGGCAAGTAATAACTGGAGGATGGGAGCTGTTGATTTTCACAGTCGGTGCGCAGAAAAGAAAATTTCTTAACTGTACCCAACTCAATTTCACCCAGTGGGCCAGTGAGCCAAATGTGCAGCGATCTCCGCAATTTATGATAACCAATTTGCGGACTACATCCATTCCCACACGGGCGATATGTTATGCCAGCACCGATTCCAACCGAGATCCCGGTCCGCACTCGTAGTTGAAATCCAAGGGGCAGTAGCCGGCGTGGACTTAATCACTCGGCTCCTCCACGCATCGTTAAATGTTATTAGTTACCACTGAGATACTATATGTTGTGCAGATCAGATGGGTTGTTGCCGCCGGGGAATAGCGGGAGTACGAACACCCACCTGATGTTGTTTTAATTTTTTGAATCTTAATAGCCACATTTACTATTTATAACATGATGCTGCTAACTTATTTATCTTTATTCTTGTTCTATTAAAAAATAAGTGGGCAGTTCTTTTGTTCCAGTGCACTAGTGTTCGACCTTCTTGGGGAAAACTGCAGAGGAATATTTTGGAAGAAATAAGTGAACATTTCCTGTAAATATTATTTAAGTTTTTTAATATTTATAATATGTCAGTTTATTCAATCCTTTTCTTCATTTTAAACAAAACATTTCCAGATAAGATAAAACAGTTCATCAAACACGATTCGTAATTTTCCAAAGTTACAAGAAAATAAAAATAATCGAAAAATGTCAGCATGATACAATGCTCAATTATATGATGGGTTTTAGGTTATAATTTGCGGCTATTCACATCTTTTATATGTATTATTTGTATTACAAGACATGCAATTTTTCAAGAAACATGTTTTACTATTTTTGCTCAATAGCCTTTAGTTTAAAAATCCATTGACCCTATTAGGAGTACCAGAGACTACCGACGAATGCAAATCGTGTCTCTAACTTACGAATTAATACATTGTATTTGTAGTGAAGAAAGCACCATAATGTATCGACCAGCAGCAGATACATATATCTAAAGTATAAAGAAATCGAAAAGATCTACTTTGTGGCAGGGAGCCGCCGTCGATCGCGAGATCCGAAGAGCATCAGCATCATGGATGGGCATCCATCCGTGGGTGAGTAACGAAAACATGTCAGCGCCCACTGCAGCTGAGCTAGACTAAGTCGAATATGGCCAGTGCTAATTGCCTCCAAGTAGCATATGTATGCTCCATCCGCAGGTCCAAGATCCGTCTGCGTCCCATCGAACACGCCAGTTCTTTCCGTCTGAGTGCGCCGCGAATCCCCGATCGCAATTTATAAAAGCTCTGCCCGCCCAGCGATTTCGCTGCAGTAGCATCCCCAGATTGCCGGCAAGTGGACGTTAGTGGATATTAGATATTGGATATATCGAAGAGCCCACTTCAGAAATCACAGACCCTGGATAGCCGCATACGTCAACAGGAAAGATTCCACGATGAAGCGTCTCGAGTGGCTGCTGCTCCTGGCGTTAGTAGCCTCCGTCTCCACGGCAGTGGCTCCGCGGAGAAGGCGCCACAGCGTGGTGGAGCCGCCCTCGCCGAGTCCCAGCGAATGGGGATCCTCGTGGGGATTGGGTGCGGAGATGGCAATCGTGAGGCGGGTCTACGATGAGTGCCAGGACAAGAACGACTTCATCGGCTGCCTTAAGCAGAAGGCTCTTCATGCGCTCAGTCGAGCTGTGGACCAGGACTCCATCAAGATCGTGGACGGCCTCGTGCTGGAGAAGCAGAACCAGAGCGAGACGGAGAGTGTCCTGGGCTCCCTGACGGACGCCCGCCAGTTCGGCAGCCTGGCGCCCATCGACCGAGCCCTTCTCTCCAAGGCGGACAAGCTTATGCGGACGCACACGCTCAAGATCGACATGGACGGGGGCAGCGGCGGAGAGGAGGAGTCGGTGGGCCGTGGCCACGAGCACAAGCACAAGAAGAAGAAGCACAAGGAGGGGGGCCACACCAAGTACGTGGTGGCCGCCCTGCTCACCGCCATTGGAATCGCCGGTCCTCTGGGCCTCAAGGCGCTGGCCGCGATCGCCGGCAAGGCCCTGGTCATCAGCAAGGTGGCCCTCACCATTGCCGGGATCATCGCGCTGAAGAAACTCTTCTCGCAGGAGCACAGCGGGGAGACCAGCTTCCAGGTGCACGCCGCCGGCGAACATAACAGGTGAGTCTTCAAGGCAAAGGGATTTAATGATTTCTCATTGGAATGTATTTTAAATTTTATAACGTAAATATCTTTGTTAATAACATAACAACTTGTAATGTTTTCATGTTTCAAACATGTGTAAGCTAAATCTTTTAAAGAAAAAAGTTTATAGACTTTTTTAAACCAAATTTGTTTAGAAACGTTAGTAAACAAACAAATTTTTAAATGTTATTCGAATTGAATTTAATTTAAGAAATAAGGATGAACAATTTCCTCGTATCTGCATAAAGATATTTTAGAAAACGTTCGTAAACTTGTTTTATTGTTTATAGCTTAATATTATTAATAATCATAAATACCAAAAAAGTTCTATAAATATTTACTCCATTTCCCATTTTGCATTTAAAATAAATGCAGCATAATTATTTAAATAAACCCCTATGAATTCAATCTCCCCCAGGCGCAACACATACGTGATCCGACCGGTGACCAAGACGAGTGCTGCAGCAGCAGCAGCAGGAGGAGCCGGTGGCGTGGGAGTGACCGCCCCCGGGGGCAGTTCTTCGGTGGACCCGTATCGCTACTACTACGAGTACCACCAGCCGTAACGCGTGACGAAGGGACGAGTCGGTGTCTGGAGAAATCTCCGCCATCCCTTGGCGGAGTCCTGAAGCAGCTAGGCTACCAAAGAACCGATCCACAAACAGTCGGGCCAAGTGGAGCCCGGCAGCAGCCGTTCACCTTAAAGTAGCTCCTAAGTTGTAGGATAGTCTATTATGCAGTTGCCTGAACCCCGAAAACGACACCCAAATAATAAACGATATTGAAACGTACTCTTAGAGGAAATGCAGGGTGGGCCAAAAGAAATCACCCTATTGGAAGTTGCTCTTATTTTTGCAAATGACCCCCAATTTCAAATCGGTTTTGATTTTGTGTATTAGACAGATGTGAAGTTTAAGTAAATAAGGCATGGAACGATATACGCCAAAAGAACGGGGAACAATCAACTTGGCCAATAAAATTCTAAAGGTTCAAATAAGCATAATCCAAAAAACAGAACAAAATTTTGTCATTTAGGTAAAAAAAAGAGAGCCAAGCAACATCGGATGACTTCCTATGGCTCACCCAATATAAAAAACTCCTGTTTATTCAGCTTTGGAATGTAAATCAATCGGAGTCATCCGATATTTCGTAGCTTGGACCGTTTCGATTGCCTCTGAGGCTGCTCAGAAGCGTTTGTTGCCTGTTTGAAGAGCGCTGTTCAGTATAAATGATAAAGTTAACAAATATTCAGGTTATTAAGCAAGAAGTAATTGAAAAGTAATATTTCGTACCGAAATAGGCAACTGGGGTTTATCACGAGATGCGGCTGTGGCAGCGGTTCGACCTCTGGCACCTCCACGCGCTCGGCCACGCCCCCTTCCCTGGGGGGTACTTGTGGAGGTGTTTGCTTCACTGCCCAAGACCGATGTGGAGTTCTCTTCCGGCTTTATTTTGAGGCCCTGAATGTCGAGCATTTTTAACAGATCCTCATGCTTATGGCGCACCCTAAAACTCATCAGTTCGTCGTCGATGTTCTCATCATTGGGCATGGATTCCATCAGGTGGTCCACTGCCTTTTCCCTATAGAATCTGTAAAACATTTGTTTAGATAAACTCTCTTTAATATTTAATCCAGACTTACTTGACAATTTTATCAGCTGCATCAGCATCCTTTCGCTCCACCAGTCGATAGGTCATCTCCGCCAATGCCTTCGAGTGGAACAACCTTAAAGGTTTATTGGACTTGGCCTCCTCGAAATAACGATCCACCAACTCCTCAACTCGAGTTGCATTCTCCGCTTCCTATAATACAGTTTATAATACCGATAATGTACAACAAAATTGCAACATTTTGATTCGTTAGTTGGGAATAACTAAGAAATTATGAAAGACTGGTTTAAGTTTAAGTCAAGATAAATACATATCTTGTTTCCGACAAAAGAAAGATTAATTAGTTTTGGCACAAGTCTAGGACATAAAGCCCATAATATTAAACAAAAATATATATATATAAAATAAAAACTTTCAGAAATTATGCAATACATATTATTTTCACAACTTTGTGATAAGCCAATCATAATCAACGATTGTAAAAGTGCTCTTACCAGTGCTCGTCGCAAGGCCTCCTTGTCCAGGTTGACGGTCTCCATCTTGGTGCGTTTAATAAGCTTGCTGAACTGCACCACATCCTGAACGTTGGCCACCTGCGTACTAAACATCTGGCCAAACCGGATTGCGTTGAACATACAGGACTCGTCGGTGTAAAGAAGGCGCAGCCGGATGAGCGGCAAAGTGGGCTGCTTGGGATGCCCAGAGTGCTGGGCGGACGCTTTCTGGAGCATGGCCTCAACTCGCTCCTTGGCAAATCGGAAGACCTTGTCGGAGGCATCGCTCTCCTCGAGGCCCAGCTCCTCGGCGAGATCGGGCAGAACGACGGATTCGAAGACGAAGGGACGCACGGTCTGCAGGGGAAGCTCCTTCATCTTGAATTTGCCCTTGTAAATCTCAAGCAGGCCGACGTGCTTCTTCTTAGACTCGCCCTCGGACAACGAAGTGGGAACCGAGGAGCCCGGCTGGGAGACATAGAAACCCTTTCTTGCATTCACCTCCGGCTCGATGCGGCAGTCGTGCTCGTGGCCCCAGATCACCAGGTGCAGGAAATCCGGCAGCAAGTCCTCGGGCAGGTAGTTCTTTGGTCCGCGATCTGCGCGATTCTGGTGCACCACCAGCAGGTGGAACCAATCATCCTGCTCAGACGATTCCTTGGTAGCTTCATCTCCTGCTCTTCCCGTGTCGGGACAGTTAAACTTCACCTTGACTTCCCGGATAAGCCTGGCTAGCCGACCGTCGTGGATGTGGCTAAGTCCGTAAAGAGCCAACTGGCTCTCACCCTTGCGAATTAAGATGGGGCTGATCTCGACCTGGCTAAGGTCCGTCCAGCGGCCAAAGTAGTTGATTAGGCCTGAGGTGCTGAGCAGATCTAGAGAGCTCAGACGGCCAAACCCACTGGGATCGTCGTGATTTCCGTGAATGGAGAACACCGGGATGCTGATGTTCAGGTTGGGATCCTCGTAGTTAACCGACTGGTTAATGGCGTTGTGAAAAGATTGCGCCTGATCGCTGAGGATCTCCAGGGAGACAGGACGATCGCCAAATGTGTAGCGTCGCAGGAGTTCCATGCATCTGGCGGGGAATCGGATGATTATACACAACGGAATGAGGGTTGTGTCTACTCACTTGTGCATGGAATTTTGACTGGGCACTGCGTCGTGAAAAAGGTCTCCGCCCAGCAGGATCATGTCCACATCCTCGGAGACCGCCAGTTCCAGAATCTCCTCGAAGGCAGTGAAGCTGTCCTCACCACGGATCGAATCCTTTTCGCAGTAGCCCAGATGGTTGTCGGTGGCCACCAGGATGCGGATTACGTTATCCGCGTCCTGCTCCGCTGCCGTGGTATCCTCCATTCCCCAATTCTTTTCTTTAAAATCCCCGAATGGCGCCCAAAAGTTTGCGCCTTGATTTCGCCACAAAGAATAATGTGACCAGATGGTGAAACTCATGAAATATCCTCATTCACGGATTGGCAATTTTTAAACTTAATACCTGTGTACCTATTTAAAAATCATCCTAAACCTTAAAATATAGTCTCTGTATTTAAGATATTGTGTCTGTTTAAATCTGTTTTATCTAAACAGCTTACTTATTTCACTCAATTGCGAAGTTAATATTGTATAAACAATATTAAGTTTATATTAATATTAAATTTAAGTAAAGTAATTTATTTAAATAATCCTTAAATCTTTATAAAAATACAAGAACATTTTATTTATTTTTATTTTTAAGAAGTAACCACAATTATTACCTCCTACTTTTTTTTTACCTTTATCACTTACGCATTAATTTTCTTAATATATGGTTTTAATAAATGGTTTTAAATTTATAAATTTTCCTATATGTAGTAAATAAAATTTGTATAAATCTCCCATGCAAACTGCAGGTCATTGTAAACAGTCTAAAGCTAAGTTACCAATAAAAGATCATTGTGTAAGCCTGTCTGCCAGGTAGCAACTTCACATTAGCGCTTATGGTTGAGAGCACGCTCCGCCTTTCCGATCACAGCCCTTAGATCGCTTCAGTTTGGTTTCGGTTTACTGTTCAGTCTAGATATGGCATTATCACTTCGTGGATGACATCCCTCCTCGTGTGCCAGGCAAGATGATGAACATGGGGTTTGATCACAATAATGAGTTTGCCAGCCTCCTGAAGAGTTTTAATTCCGATGGAGTCGTCAGTGAAAATTTTTCGCTTGAGGAATGGGATGACATCCATGTTCTCGTCATAGTAACTAAAGTGGCTGAAATGGAATAATTGTTATTACTTTTACCCTTTTAAATCTGGTATTTTAATCATACCTGGATTCCCAAGGGGTAATCACGTCATCGTTGGGACCTCCGATCATCACCAATCTATCCAGCCGCACCATTCCCATTTTGAAGGATGTGGAGTTGGAGGTCTGCTTCTCGTTGTTGATCAGTGGCAGGAACTCACTGTACTTCATGTAGAGCTCCTGTCTCTGCGGATCGTTCCAATATCCGCCCACCGAGGTGTGCTGTCCCACTCGAGAATAGAACAATTCGAAGGCCGTTTTGGCAGCCAGATCAGGAAATATCAGATGAAGAAAGCTGGCTGTAATTAATAAATTCTTAATATTTTCAAAATAAAATTTGTATTTTAACCTTTATGTGCTAGGAAAGCTTGACTAATAAATATTGTTTGGGGATGTTATTAAAAACTCGATTTTTCAAACTGATATTTTAATGAACATTGTGCTTTGGTGTGATTTAAAAACATTTTAAAATATCAAGAAATATATGTTTAACTCGCGTTTTTGAATTCAAAATATAACTATCTAATTAATACAGGAATAAAAACTAACCCAACTTTACATTATTTCAAAAGAGGTTACATAACATAAATATAAGCGAATAGCTCAGAGCTATTTCTTAAAAATTTGGTTTCGCTCCATTATGATTGGGCAAATAGTAAAATATTATCGTGTTTCTAACGAAGAGTCGATATTTATAACAATATTTAACGAATCTCAGGGAGACTGCTTTGAAATTGGATTCCACTGGGTGGGTTTAACTTACTTCCATATTGCCCCGCTTGTGGGGAAGATAGGGATATGAAGGTCTTCACATTGTGATCGGGCAGACTTTGGATGGCTGCTCTGGCCAAAAGACCTCCCTGGGAGTAGCCTAAAAATACTATAAGTTAGATAACCGGGAAAAGTCTTATATAGGAGCAAACATACCCAACACAATAATGCCCTCCGGATGCAGTTTTCCCACTTCGTTGAGGTAATCCCTAACCTGATCGACCTGTCGCCAGGCGTTCTCCAAACTGTACCATCCACTGAACTTGTCGCAATTGTAAACTATGGTACCAGGATGCTTCTGCAAACGGAAAACAATCGGTTATCAATTTTACTGCGCTGTTTGCGTCGAATTTGACCTTGGCACTATTGTTTTTGCTTGTAAACAAAAACAAGGGGAATCCAATAACAAACCTCTTCGATTTCCCGGACCAGAAATGACATTGATTCAGCTCCGGAAAGGATTCCGTGGAGAATTACGACCGGTTTGTAGGCCGGTGAGCCGGAAATAGCCTTGCAGCATGCGAGAATTGCCAGAAGTATCTGGAATTGATGCCTCATTTTGTTTCGAACAATGGGTTTTGATTGCAACTGTTGTTGTTGATGTATCCGTATCTTTTTAGCTGTCTCTTCTTCTTACTCTTCAATTCGGAATATGCGGGTTATTAATCCGACGTGTGAATGGCAAACTAGGTTCAACGAAAATATGAGCAGAGCGACATTCAAAATGCGATTTCAAATTTCACTTTTCCTATGAATGTATTTTAAGAAAAATCGTATTAAAGAAATAAATAAAACCTTTTATTAATTCAACTATATCTTTTTGAAGAGGCTCATAAAGCGTTGTAAGAGAATTAAAAAAGCCAGTTCTCATTTTTTATGTTTCCGTTTTTTAAACTTATAGAAAATAATAAAAAAATTCATCAAAAGTTAAAAATTGTTTTTTGTCATTCGTTTTTTGTTTTATTATTACCATAATTTTTTAAAAAACATTCTAAGGTATTCTGCATAAGTTAATTAAAAATGTTAGGCTTTACTTTCCAATAGCGGTTGGGTGGTTTCAAAAATAAAAAGCAAAATAAATGATATTTAATGAAGGTTAAATAGTTTAAATAAAATAAATTATTTTAAAAATTTCTTGTAATATCTTAAACTCAACCAATACTGCTGAATTAAGAAAGTTAACCAAAACGGATTTCTCAGCTTCAATAAAATCCCCGAGATCAGCGGAGCTTAAAATAATGCTCGTTTATTCACTCTCAACTTACACGATCGTCGTTATGTACTTTGCACTATTGAATCTTGCGTAAATTTAAGTCTAGTCGCAGCAATGCACGCTCTGCAATTAATATCTACGCTCTGTCTGGCGATCCACAACTCCTTCTCATCCTTCACTTCGCACAGTCAATCCATTTGTCTTTCGGGGCCGGGAACAAGGTGATTTCAATGTATGTATGTATATCAAATATGACAACACTTAACAGTTTAGGCTTAGGGCTAAGGCGGCATCTCCGCCGTTTTGTTAAAGAGTTCTCGATCTAGATTTGTAGCGGTTCTGTTCCAAGTTACGTGATTCGTTCACCGGCCGGAGCTCTAGTAGTAGAAGTCCAGCCCGTTCTGAGGGCTCGAGCCTCACCCGGCCACCTCCTCGCTGACAAAGTCCAGCTTGACAACCTCGGCGGGCAGGCACTCCTCCACGTCCACCTCGTTCTCCTGCACGTTGATGCGGTTGAGGGTCATGGACACGTCCGGTCCGCACTTCAGTCCCGCTGGCGCTGCAGCTGGCGCTCCTGCTGTCGCCGTCGCCGCTGGAGGATTGGAGGTAGTGCTCACCACGTCGTCGGCAATCACCACCGTTGGCGAGAGCACTGTGGATACTGCCGGCACCACGGGGACCACGATCTGCGCCGAGGAGCAGGTGGAGACCGCCAGAGGCTGCTGCACCACGGTCGTGGAAGTGGACGTGGGCTGTTGGATGATGATGTTCTCCGTGATGGTGGGCGTGTTGTTGGCCGCCGAAGCAGCTGCCTGAGCCGCCGCCAGCGCAGCCGCCTTCTGCATCTGCTGGTACTGCTTCACCGTGACCGTCGTGCCCGTCGTGGCGGTGGTCTGTGGGTGCAGGATGATCTGCTTCGGCTGCGCCACCAGCTGCACGTGCTGCACGATGGGCTGCGTCTTGAATACTTGGGGAGGGGTCTGCTGGAGCGACTGCTGGGCGGGCAGCGTCTGGAGGACGTGCTGCACCTGCTGGACGGGCACTTGCTTGGCGGGGATGCCGGCGTCCTCGAAGGCCTTCTTCTTCAGCGCCTGGCGGATTTGGGAGCTGTAAGGGGAAGGAGAGATGTGGATAAGCACGGGACCAACTACATGTTCCCTCGCCAGGATGCCACTTACACGGTGCGGTTCTTGATGCTCAGGCTGATCTTGGTCAGGTCGTCGGAGAAGCGCATAATGGACGAGTGCAGCATGTCAATCTCCTCGTCCGTCCACTTCCTGCAGCCGTGGCGAGGGAACAAAAGCACACACAAAACACTCCGATTAGTGGTCTCCGAGTCTCGGAAACGCCGGACTCTGGGTTTCGGATTCCGAGATCGACTTACCCGGACGGCGATTCCGCATTGGGATGCAGCTGCATAGTGAGATCGCCCAATCGGCTGAACGCCTGCCCGGCGGCCGTGAATATCTCCCCCACCTGCAAATGTAATGGGGTTTTGCATCCGGAGTCAGTTTGTTGTTACCGCGTGCAAATTCAAAACAAACGCACCGCCCCCCGGCCCACAACCCGTCGCCCCCGCAAAAGGTGGAACAACAAATTTCCCACTCGCAGGAGTGAGACAAACGAACGACTCTCGACTCTCTCCCGCGCCGCCGTTTTTTGTTGTTGCGGCGCGCCAAGACGGTGCGGGCGGTAGTCCGGGGGCGTGGTAGCCGGCGGAGCAGTCGGAGCAGGTCCACCTACCTTGGTTGCCGAGTTCATGGCCTTTTTTTCGCGGGGCGCTGCTTTTTTGTCGTAATTTTCTGTTTTGCCTCAGCGTAAGCGTCTGCGGCCTTTTGCAACACTACCGCCGTTCGCAATACTCAAGCGGCCCCCCTGCGAGCACTTTACAATACTTCTATCCTATCGATTAAAGGGTATGTAGTAGTCCAGGTATCGCCAAACCAAATGCGATAACGATATATATTTTTTAATCTTTCTGTTAATTTAAATATTTATTCCTATCAGAAAATACAAACTTCGCTCATATAGTTTAAATGATAAAGGTCAGCAGAACAATAGTTCTAGAAAAATATATTAATAATTTGAAAAATCCCGACTCTTTTTGAGGCGAACTATTGTCGATAAAATAAAAAAGGATTTTTAGTTAAAAAAACTGAAGAAATGTAAAGAATTTTTGGAATTAAAAACATATTTGTTTTGTAATGAAAGTGGTGAAAAGTGAAATGGACAATAAATGGTCTACAAGCAAAGACAGAAAGAAATTATAAAAAAGGAAGAAATATGTTAATCATAGTGTTTTAATTTAATGATTTGTACACGAAATAAATTACTAAATTTATGAATAAGGATTCCTTATTTCACAATGTTTACCTTTTTGGTTTTCAAAATAATAAGCTTTTTCGGATTGAACAAGGAAACTCCATAACCTAACTAATGCCGAACAAATTTTAAATTCGTCTCAGATAGTTAAGGTGTACGCGTTTAACATAAAAATAATAAGAAATTATAAACATAAAACTTCTCCCCTGACAAGATAACACTGAACAAAATAACTTAATACTTGAATAATTTCTAACATGACTTTTTTGGCAGGACTTCCAAGGCCACTGGTTTTTTTTCCAACAATTTCAGCAGCCCATTCATGCTTAATTGGGCGATGCCCAGAGTTGTTTTTATCTTTTTTGAAATTTTTTTTTGGGCACGGGTGAGTTGCAGTTGCTCTTTTGCCTATGCTGCCAAATCCCAGCTTGGGCTCTCTAGGATCGCCTCGAGTTCAGATTAAGTCTGTTCTTGCAGTTCAGCTCCGAACAAATGCAATCGCCGGCTGAAATGGAAAGTGTTAGGAAAATTCTTAAAATCCAAAGCTAAAATGGCTGCACTCACTCATAGACTCTGTCATAGTTCCGCGATCCTCAGAGTCGATCCAAAAAGATTGCTTCCTGTGCTCATCGTACGCCGTCATCCGTCGATTTTTTCGAACCGCACACTCAATGGTGGCGGATTTTTTTGGCCCGCTCTCACCTGCTCCACAGCGATCCTTGGTTTTCTTGGAGGAATGAGCAGACGCAGAGCTCGGCGCTTCGGTGGGAGAGCTCGATTCATGGAGCAAGTTGCCTCCGTTTAGCTTGACAGCTTGTAAAGCCGCCAGTTCAGACTCAAGCTTAGTCGAGAACTCGCTGACCGTGCAAAACTTTTCCTCTAGATTGCGCTTGTCCTCCAATAAACTGGAGATGGTGCCGTCCATGCGGACCTTCTCCGTTCGGTAACTGGCTTCCCTGGATTTCTAAAACAAAATAATAGGTAAAAAATAATATCAACTAATAGTTAACTAAAATACTACCAGAGTTACTCGTAGCCTCTCGCATTCTTTTGTGAGATCGTCAACTTCCTTTTCCATTTCGAGGCTTCTACTATTGGCCGCGTCTAGGGCTGATTGGAGATTAGTGAAGGCTTGCTGAAAGGAAGTAAGTGCTGCCCCTTGGGATTTCAACTGATCCTTAAGTCGAGCGCATTCTTCATCCTTTTGTTTGAGCATTGTTATATTTTCTTTCAGCATCCTTTTCTTCTTTTGTAGACATGCTTCCTTGGATTTCTAAAACAAATATAAAAACTATGAATAATCTATTATTTACCGGATTAGTCAAGTTTTACCAGAGATGAACGTAGCCTCTCGCATTCTGTTGTGAGTTCATCAGATTTCTTTCCCACTTCGAGCACTTTATTATTGGCCGTTTCTATGGCTAATTTGTAATGAGTGACGGCTGGTTGCAATGACGCCAGTTCTGCTTCTTTGGATGCCAACTGAGCCTCAAGTCGAGCATTGTCTTCATCCTTCTCGTTTAGAATGGTTAAATGTAGCTCCAGCTGCTTGCTTTTATTTTGCAGACTTGTTTCCCTGCATTTCTGAAACAGAAATAAAAACGTTGAACGATCAAGCAAAATACCAGAAACGTTTTTATTTTACCAGAGTCGATTGCAGTTCCTCGCACTTTTTCGTTAGTTCCTCCTTTAGCGCACCAAAGTTTTCCTCCATTTGGCTCTTGTCTGCCAAAAGGCTTTCTAGTGCAGCTTCTTTGGATGACAACTGAACTTTGAGTATGGCATTTTCTTCATCCTTTCCTTTAAGGATGCTAAGCTTTTCCTCCAGCTGTCGTTTGTTCACTTGCAGATCAAATATAATCGACTCCAAGCTCTCAATAGATTTTGTTTCCTGAAAAACATTATTGTGTGATCAAAAAGCGAAAATGTACACAGAAGTTAAACTTACTAGTTCGGAACGCAGCTCCTGCGTCCGTTCCTCTGCCTCCTTGGCTCGCATCTGTTCCTCCAGAAGAGCTTTTGATTCTTCGAGTTCTGCCAGATTTTCTTTAAGGGAGGCGCACAACTTGTGCTCCTTCTCTAGGCTCACTTTAAGCTCCCCGTTCGCAATCTCAAGTTGATCTTTTATTTCTTGAAGGGACTTTAGCTTCAGCTGGAGCTCGTCAATTGAACCCTGAAGATCGGCTACCTCACGTTGGAACTTTCGCGCTTGGAGGGAGAGCTCCTCCTGCACTTCTTTGAGCTGCGTGGCCAGCACCAATTGATCTGCGCTCACACAGGTCCTTGCATCTTCGGCTTCCTTCAGTTCCGAGCGAAGCTTTTCAATTTCCGCAGCTCGATTGGATGTTTCCTGCTGGGAAGTTTGTAGATCCGCACGGAGGCGCTCCACCTTCTTTTGCAGATTACACGAAGATTCGTTTGCCTCCGTGAGACAGTTCTTTAGCTGCTCATGCTGGGAAACCATTTCTTCGTGGCGCAGAAGCTTGAGTTTAGCACCATGCAGTGCTTCCTCGAGATCGTTGATCTTGAGCTTAAAAGTCTCCATCTTCTCCTCAAAATGACATTTCTGCAACACATTTTGCTTAGTAAGGATCGCCATCTCTGTCTCAAGTTTTACCAGGTTATTCACGGTACTCGAGTGCTGCGCATTGGCATCTTGAATCTTCGACTGCAGAACCATCTTCTCCTGTTTCAGTTTATCCAATTCCAACACCTGCTGGTCGTACTTTGTCTGGAGCTCCTCGATCTTCTCGTTTGCTCCGCCTTGTGCCTCCAAGATGTTCTGCTCTCGAGTGCGCAATTGAGTCTGCAGTTCTCCCTGGCTTTTCTGGTAAAGCTTCTCCAGTTCCTGCTTCTCCACTTTCTGCTTTTCCAGTTCCGCCTTGTGATCGACTTCAAGATTGGCCTTCTTCCTCTCGGCTTCCTCCAGCTTTTCTTTTACCATTCCCTTGATTTTCTCGAGCTCTTCCTGGTGCTGAGCAGCCAAGGTCTTCCTCTCCTCCTCAGCCTGGGTAATCTTCTCCTCGAGAGCGCCCTTAATCGCTTTTAGCTCCTCCTGACACTGAGCCGTAACGCTGGAGAGTTCCTCCCCGACCAGCGAAAGCTGCTCCTTCAAAGTGGCTATAGTTTTGTCATAGCCTTCCTTGCTCTCCTCCAACTCCAGGCTGTAACTGCGGAATTTCGAGCGGTTCTCGATCTCGCTCTCCTCTAATTTCACCATAAACTCCAGCTGCAGAGCGTTGATCTCATCCGTCTTTACCTTCTCCAGCTTCCTTAGCTCTTCCTTTGCCCTACCTAATGACTCTTCAAGTTCTTCGATTTGCTTCTTCTGTTCGGAGGACAAGTTTGCCTGCTTCCACTTCTCCTTTTCCAGTTCTTCCTTCCTTTTCAGAGACTCCTCTGCCTTGATGTTGCGGTCCTCGAGTTGCGCATTCCTCTCCTGAAGCTGGTCAATGAGGATCATGCCATCGGAAAGCTTCTTAGTCTGACGATCTAGCAGATCCTGCTTTTGCCGGACATCCTCCTCCAGCTCCACAAGTCTTAGCCCCGTTGACGAGCAGCGCTTGCCCATTTCCTCGATTTCCTTCTGCATCTTGGCAATGTTTCCGTCCTTCAGCTGCATCTGCCTCAGCTGGCCTTCCAGCTCGCTCTGGAGATCACACACCTTGGCTCGCAGCTCTGCGAGGGTTGCCTTAAGTGAGGCCACCTCCTGCAATTCCCGTTCGTCTTCACGGGGAGATTCAGGCACGCCTATTAGGGTATCCCCTTCGGTCAGACTGTCGCTCGTCGGACTCTCCTTGGCTATTTTATCCTGCAGCTCTGCATTTTGTTTCTCCAGAGAGTCGATCTTAAGCTGGTAATCTTCCACCATGCTAACTACACTACTCTTTTCCAATAAAGCAGCCTCCAGGCTTTGTATCTGCTCACTCATCTGGTTGATGGTATCCTCCGCCGCCTCCACTTGCATTGTTTTCTCTATGAGGTCCTGCTCCAGTTGGAAGACTACATCCTTACTCTGCTGCTCCTCACCCAATCTCACAATTCGAAACCTGAGTCGCTTCAGGAATCCCTTAAGGCAAACGGAGTCGTCCAGCTGCGCAGTGTCGCCCTCGATGAACTCCGCTGACCCGAGACAAAGCTTCAAGGATGGCACAATCTGAGTCCGTTCAAGACGGCTGGCTCTGAAGAGGCGGCTGTGGGCGGAGTTGTGCTGAAGCTCGATCTGCTGAACGGACTCCAGCAGCTGGACAAACTGCTGCAGAAGATCGCTGCCTGGATCGGACTCGTGCTCCGGTTCGCTGCACTCGGTGCCCACGCCGGAGCTCTTCATGGAATCCACGTCGAAGTTCCTCGCGGGCCGATGCTTTAGCTCCTCCCGCAGGGCGTCGTTCTCCTGGATACTTTCGACCAGCTGGTTGGAGAGGCTGTCGTACTCCTGCTGAATCCCCTTGAACTGTGCCTCCAATTCCTCGAGATTTACCTTCAGCCTTTCGTTTTCTGCCTTAAAATCCTTCGCCGAAGCCTCGTGATCGGGAGCCTGCATAAGCTTGCGCTGGGCCTCCTCCACCCGCTCCTTGAGGGTCCCAATCTCGCCCTGCAAACGCGTGTTGTCCTGCTGAAGCTGCCGGCACTGATCGTCAGATTTCTGGCCCAGTTCCTCGTACGCATCCTGCAGCTTCTGGTACTTCTGCTGGATGGCCTGGTAGTCCGCCTGCATGGTCGCGATGGCCAGCTGCTGGCCCTGCCACTGCTGCTCCAGGCTGTTGTACCTGACCTGCAGCAAGCCAAAGTCGTCCTGGGCGGTGGACACCTGTCGGGTGAGCCGTTCGCAGTCGCTGGTTTTTTGGGAGACCTCGCAACTGGCCTGGCTGAAGGCCTCCTGCACGCTCTCCAACTTGATGCGCGTGGCAGCGATCTCGGAGCGCAGCTGGTCGCACTGGCAGGCGATCCTCTCCAGCTCCGTGGCGTCCGCGACGGGCAGGAGGCCCTCCAGCTCGTGGCACTTGTTGCAGATCCTCTCGCAGCTGGACTCCAGCTCGGGGCACATGGAGCGCATCTGGTCCTCCTTGCTGTTGAGCAGCACCTCGCGGGACAGCTCCTTGAGCGACTGCTGCAGCCCCTCGATGGTCGAGTCCCTCTCGGAGAGCGCCGAGAGCAGCTCCTCCTCCACCTGCTTCGACTTGGTCTTGTGCGACTCGAAACGCAGTCCGAGGTTCACCGCCTCGCTCTTCTCCATCTCCAGCCGCGCGATGGTCTCCTTCAGCGTCTTCATCTGCTCCTCGTACTCTTCGATCCTCTCATTCGCTACCTGGTTGGATGCAGTAAGAGCTGAGATCTCGGCCTGCAGGGCATCGCACCTGGAATCGAAGGCGAGAGAGAGTTAGAAGAGTAAATGAAAGAGTCGACGAGTCCCCAAAATCTTTCTCCTTTTTGTAGTTCCAGTGCGGCACAGAGGAAAACTGTTTACTCTGCCCGACTAAATTCGAGCTGTCCAAGGGAATCGGTCGTTTATAAAATACCACTAAAAATAGAAGCAGCTGGCGGCATTCAAGATGAAGTTGCACCCGGCGAGGTGTGTGGGAACACTGATATGTATGTACATGGACACAGCTGCAGTCGAAGTAATAGCACACCCGAAAATTTGTTTATTATTTAAGTTAAATGGAGGGAGTATAACTAACTTGGTGCTTTTTACAGTTGAACTAAATGCCAAATATCAACAGTTAATATGTAAATATTTTACGGAAACTAGCTAAATTAGTTATTCATTGTCTTAATCAAATATGAAACGAACGTATTAAGTTTATTTTAATAAAATAACAATCTAAATTAGAAGCATATTTATACAGTCAAACAGCGCTAATTGGATTCCAGTAGATTGGAGTAGAATTAAAAAGGTAAACACTGTTTTTAATAAATTAAAAGCAACACAGAAAAAATATGCACAAAAATGAGGCATTCAGAAACTCATTCAGTGAAATCTATTTACCTAATCGATTAGGTAAAAAGGTATTGTTTTCAACTATTTTTTCTGTTACGTTGGTGGCCAACCTGTCAGAAGCTTAAATGCGCAGTGCTATTACTCCGACCGCAGCTGTCCCTGTGGATTGGTTGATGCAGATCTTCCACCAAAGTCACTCACTCACTCAATCACTAACTCTCTCGGCTGCAGTTGGCCAATCTATGAGTGTTACATCACAGTCAATAACGTCGGTGGATCGGCAGTAGGGCCGACGTCATCGATCACCCAAGACGAAGGTTGGGGGAGTCGGAGAAGAGTGCTGGTAGCTGGTGGCTGGTGGACAGCGGTGAACACAATGAGCATTTCGGAATTCCAGCGTTCAAATTATCAAGAAGTTAGCCAGTTAACTGGCTTGTCGATCGGCTTTCTGCCTTATCGCGCTGACAGAGCCACAAAACGATCGTCTATTCGCGAAACGGGCTCGCTCCAACCACCTCTTTCCGCTCCCGGAATCTCCTGAGAAACGCTTCTTTTTTTTTTTTGTTTCGCGGCGGCTACTTGCGTTGGCGTTTGTTTTGTTTTCGATTTCCTCGCGATCGCGCTCTGAGCAAGCTTGCGAATGCGCGGAAGAAAGCGGGGAAGACCGCCGCGAGAAGACTGCGCGAGAAGACTGCCCGAGCAGACTGCCGTCAGCCGAGTAGAAGAGCTCAGCGCAATCTCCACCTCGTTTCAACTCAGGTGCCAGGTGAGTGGGCGCCAGTGGTGAATAGCCACATTCAAACTGATAGAAATAAATACATATTCCTTAAACATTAAAGTCTTATTGCAACTTTTATTTAAGAAGCGAAAGGGAAATGTTGGTATGCTTTCTTTTTAATTTAATTATCTAATATCTATTACCAAATAAATTAATTGAACAAAATTATTAAACTCAATTTACCGATTATCAATCAATTTTATAAGAGCCTGGAGGTCTTTTTTCCAAATATGCAACACTATACAACAATTAATAAAATTTAGAAAAATCGAAAATAGCAAAACAAAAAACATTTTAGTCAAAAAGAGAAAATATGAGGAAATATCACAACTAACAAAAAATATAAAATTAAGTGAAATGGCTTCTATGGCAAGTGGAGTAACTTGTGAAAAACAGCGTTGAATCTATTTTATAAATTGTGCAAAAATAGAATTTCTAGAATAATAAATATTGACTCACTTTTCAACGGACTCCTGATCCTTTTTGGGGCTCCTACTGACTTCTAAAGGTATTTGAATGGCCGCCTTTGCCCCAACATTGTTGGCTGAAATGCATTCTTCCTTGAGGGATTTATACCCGCCGACGCCTTTGAACGCCGTGTCCCGTCGATGAGCAAAGTTAGAGGTTGGGAAGTGCTTGGGCTTCGGTAGTTGGGAGATCTTTGTCGGTCGCGGCAGACGAGACTCCTCTGGCAGAACGGGCAAAGCAGCCGCGGCAGTCTCCCCTTCTGAGCCGCAGGTAAAAGTGCGTCGCCGTTTTTGAAGGCGCTGCTCGTTCAGCGATGCGCTGGAAATGATCTTGAGCATGCCGGACTTGATGCGTCGGTCCAGATCCTGCACCTTCAGCTGGCTCTCGCTCTTGCCCTCCTCCTCTGCTAGCTGATCCCTCAGAGCCTTGATCTCGCTATCCAACTGCTTCATCATCGAGCCCAAGGATAGAGCCTTATTGACCTGGGGCTTGATACCAATCTTCTTGGCACGCGCAGCGAAGTTCAGCGTGGCCTCGGTCTCCTTGATGAAGGTGGGCTTAATTGTGCAGATTATGGAAGTCAGGGCATTGCCGCCCAGCGAAGACTGCAGAACGCGCGTCAGCTTGGATTCGCGAAAGTTGATTAGTTTACTGTCCACGTTCTCGGACAGGCTCTTTATAACGTTGCCGAGGGCAAGTAGGCCAGTCTCCTTGGTGTCCGATCCCGCCAGGTCCACCAGGCACAGAACACTCTGGAGTACGACGTCGTCATCGCTACGGTCAGACTTCCGGGACTCGATGGTCTGCAGACAGAAGGTATCAATAACTGGTAGCAGGGATTACCTGGCTGGAGTACTCACTATCCGGAAGATGGCGTGCGATCGGTTGGAGCGCTCCTTGCTGCCCACGCCGAGCAGCCGCAGGAGGTCGTCCTCGCTGCTGGCGAAGCTCTCCTCGCAGTTTACCTTAACGATCCCACTGACCGACTCTTGGATGCTGAGGTCCTTGTTCCTCTTGTTCAGCAGGTCGCAGATCTTTTCGCAGCAGATCTCGATGTAGCCAACGCGCAGCAGGAAGTCGCGGTCCGGCTCGCTGGCGATCTGCTGGAAGATCTCCTTGGCGGAGAGCACCATAATACCCGGCTGCTGGCCGTCGCCCGACATCGTGTGCGTTTTCCCTGCGGAGCCCGAAGCATGAGGCACGTGTGCGCATGGGTGTGTATATATAGAACGAGTACTAACCCGACGACTTCTGGCCGTAGGCAAAAATAGTTCCGTTGAAGCCCTGCAGGCAGGCGTGCATAATGTGCCTGGCCGTCCGGTCGAATACCTCCTGGTTGCTGACTCCCTCGGCGAAGACATGGTCTGCGGGATCGCGGATGTAATGTGGTGATGCGGATTGGCACTCTGACTTCGGACAAGTACTCACCGAAGATTTGAGGAGTCGCGTGGCTCTCCGCCAAGTGGATCGAGCGGCCCTCCCTCACCTGCCAAAGGGACTTCTGGCTGGGTCCGCAAGGACGCACCTTGACGCTCACCTGCACAGAATTGGTGCTCCTCGCAGACATCCTTGTTGCCTTTTTATACAACTCTTCTATACACACATTAATCGGACGCAAACGGACTCCAATGTTTCGGAAAAGCTACAACGAATGACAAGTACATATGTCGCCCCAACAAAAAATTCGAACAAATACCGCTTCAGTGCTGCCATTAGGGGAAATGGCTTTTCACTCGGGCTGGCAACGCCGCCGAAGCGGTTCCCTTCACCTGTCATAACTTGGTTTGAATCTCGGCAATAGAGCGGAAAAAAAATTCAACATTTATTTTTAAAATGAAAGCCGATTTGGAAATGTTTATTGCAACTGCTATAAGAAGTCTATTGTATGTTTGAAACACATACAAACATTTATACTAGTATTGCATTTTAGTCCTGCTCAGTTCGTTAGCACCATACCCACAAAACTGGCATTCTATTTTCAACAAACATTCCAGTTTTTCAACTTATCGCCATGTTATCTTATAAACGGTTTTACCGATCCCCATAAAATTTATTGTGCGTGGATAACTGTGTTAAATTTTACAATTGTAGTATAATATAGTCGTCTGATCCCGGCCGTGTTCAAATAAAAAATCTTTAGAATGGTTTGCGTAGAAGCTGACAGTTGGACAGACTGACGTAAGTATATCGACTCGGATGGAGATGCTGATCAAAAATATTTAACCGACAATGCATGCTAAATTCTTCCAAACCGGTTTTCGCGATTTCTGCAGGATGAAAAAGTCCTTAAGTAATACAAATTAAAATTTTAAACAAACTATAGAAATAAAATATCAATCAAAAGATATACATTTTGTCTAATTGGATTACATTTTCTACTAACTGTTGCAATGTCTAGTGAAGATAAGAAAATGCTAAGTTAAATCAAGCCTCGAATATCCAGATTTCCAATTGGAGTGAAATATTTCCATTTAGATCATAAAAAAATTAAAACAAATAAATATTTATTGTACAAATTTTGTATAAATAGAATAACAACTTTTTTGCTTAAAGTATATACAAAAATGGATCGTTAAAAAAAAAAAAGTAAATCTGTTTTGCGTTTTACTTAAAGGCGGCTGATCACCTTTAACCGAAATTCGTTCCACTCCTCTTCTGAGTTCAAAAAGCTTTTCCACTTCATTCTCAATGGCTTGCAGAATTCGTCCAAGTGCTCTGCCCACAAAACATTTCTTTCCATAACCTTAAGATTGAGATAATGGATCAGGGAACTTTCGCTCCGAGAAAAATATACCGATCCGATATATTTTAGATGAAGATCCCGAGCCAGAGTGTTTAGGTCAGTGCCATTCCATTTTGCACCACTTTCTTTTTGCTTTGCAAACCATTTTTGCAGGGCATTAATCTCTTCAAAATTTTTGCTCCCCCAAATCTGCGCCATATGCATTTCCATTAATCGTATCCAAGATTCATCCGAGCTTCTGAAATTCTCGAAACTATTCTTTGCTTCTGAAACCATTTTGAGCACTTGTTTTCTGGCTAAAAGCGTGGGTGATAAAATAAATCCGAAAATTTCTACCTCTGATGTTGTTTGAATCTCTTTTCCTTCTATGAACCATTGTTCAGATGCGGGAATTGGGCCGGCTTGCTTGAAAACCATAACCTTTGCCGTTTTCATGTCGACCACCAAGGCCCATCTTCTAAAGTATTCTTCCAGGTGGTCAATCATACCTTGGAGCTCTTTGGCACTTTCCGAGAAAATGGCAATCCTACCAGAATGCATTAGGATTCCTATCCTGCGACGACCGATGACGAGTCCTCCGTTCAAATCTTCAGGAAGATCATTTAAGTATAGGGTCATCATAAGTCTTGACAGGATTTCACGGTCATTTTGAAAGTAGTCCCTTAGTTCGTCTTTGCAATGCTCCTGCGTGTAAACATCTCTTAAGTATCTTATTATTTTTGACGACACTCCCAAACTTTGAAGCTTGTACCACAAGAGATCTCTCTGAATCTCTGGGGATATCGATCCGAACTGAACAAAATAGGAATAGACCTTTCCCTTTTCCGCAAACTTGATGCTGGCAAGAGTATATATGTTGTAGACAAAGTCCAGCTTGGAGTATTTGGTCGAGAAATATATCTCAAAATCACTTATCTTACGGTTCTTCCCGCACCAAATAAGGATCCTCTTGAGTACTATATTGAGCAAAATCTTCTTAAGATAGGATAAAGACGGAATGGTCGAGCCAATGGTTCTGTTAAAAAGTCTATCACATCGAATAGTTATTTCAGTAAGAAAATCTTGCAATGCGGGAAGGAAGGCGCGTCTGAGAATAAATAACACTTCCTCGGCTTTTATGGCAGAGTCTAAGGTTTCATCGGTCACTAAAATGTCTGAATTGAACCTGACCAAATTTTGGGAGGGAGAACCTCTGGCGATTCGATTTCTCGGGAAGTCAAGATTGATTTCCAAACAAATGGGCAGGTGATCTGATCCATGTCGGGTTGGGCCCACCTCTGGCTTGTCCACCTTGAAGTCAACGATTGAAGGCATCAGATTCCGGCTAACGGCCGCCAAATCAATTGTCGAGTTGCCCCGCGGGCTGATGTAGGTGTAACTTCCCTCTGAGTCCCCGTGCGTCAATCCATTCACAATAGTGAGTTCATTCTGAAGGCAAAAGGAGTGGAACTTTCTGCCCCTTTCGATCTTTTTGTCTGTGGACCGGCGACCGTTGGTGTTGGCGACACATGGATAGGGTTCCACAGCCTGCTTGATCTCGCCAATTCGGACGTTTACGTCGCCCAAGACTATTGCGTTCTCGATCGGAATTTCCCTCATTTCAAAGGCGCTTTTCACTGGTCCGAATTCGTTGTCCCAATTATATGCGCGAATGTAGAGCGGAAATATGTTCACTTTCTCACTGCGAATACACAGCTGTAGAATCTTGAAGCCATTCGTTTCCACAGCTGTGTGGGTTATCCCGAACTGAACCAGGGACCTCCTGATTCCAATTACACATCCACCCATTCCTTTGCCGTTCCCTCCCATGGTTGCATCCTCCCAGGGTAAAATTTCGTAGTCCGGCTGCTGCCACTCAAACTCGTCAAAGGCTTCCGCATCCGGAAGTGTGTGGGTTTCCAGTAAAATGTAAATATCAAAATTACCCAGGTATTCAATAAACTCCTTGTCGTTGTGCTTCCCTTTTAGACCGCGGATGTTGTATGAGGTAATTTTTATTGACCGGATTCCGGTGTTGCTTTTATTGGCGATCATATTTTGTGATCCTCCGCTTTCAAACGCTGATTAACAACTGCAAAAAATCCAACACTTGTATCTACTTTATATGTGCTCTTGCATTCCGCTTAAACAATAATTAGCTATGTACGTTTGCATATTTAGTATGCTCTTGCATCCGCTTAAATAAAGAGAATGTGAAGCCCCTGTGAAATTCTTCTGATGAATCAGAGCTTTTCTTAAGTTGGGTTGGTTGTGAAGCCCCTGTGAAATTCTTCTGATGAATCAGAGCTTTTCTTAAGTTGGGTTGGTTGTTCCCAGTAGTTGTGTTTCTGACTTTATCTTTATTTTGTATGGATTTAATTATTTTTTTGTTAGTTGCTTGTTAAATTTGCTTAATTTTCTGATTGGAAATTTAAAAATTCTTAGCTTCGACGTGATTCTCCCTCAAACGGTGTAGATCGGTTCAGCTTAAAGCCTATCGTTATTTATATCGGCTTTCAATTGGATTTAATACCGATAAATACTAGACACTTTACTTAGACAACTTTATTTCTGAAATCCAATATTTAAATTTACTAGATTTTCTGGGTGTTCAAAATTTAGCAAACAATACCAAAACCATGCAGTAATCTCTAAGTCATAGATTTTTCCAAATGTGGCTTCATGGATTCCGGCTCAACCAACACTGCGTATGAGTAATGCTAATTTAAACCATTGCTCAGATGTATCTTCCTCCGGACCCCCGGACACCCCCCCCCTGCGTCCGCCCCTGGGTAGAGGTCCACTGGACACGGGTTGCATTTGCAGCAGGAGTTACAACCACATACAAACACATATAACAGTATTGCATTTTAGTCCTGCTCAGCTCGTTAGCACCATACCCACAAAACTGGCCTTCTATTTTCAACAAACACTTCAGTTTTTCAACTTATCGCCATGATATCTTATAAACGATTTTTCCGATCCCAAAAAAAGATAACTGTGTTAAATTATATATTTGTGGTAGAATATAGTATATTTATATAGAATATATATAAAAACCTTTAGAATAGTTTGCGTAGAAACAGGCAGATGGACAGACTGACGTAGGTACATATATCGACTCGGATGAAGATGCTGATCAAAAATATTTAACCGACAATGCATGCTAAATTCTTCCAAACCGGTTTTCGCGTTTTCTGCAGGATGAAAAAGTCCTTAAGCAATACAAATTAAAATTTTAATCAAACTATAGAAATAAAATATCAATCAAAAGATATACAATTTGTCAAATTGGATTACATTTTCTACTAACTGTTGCAATGTCTAGTGAAGATAAGAAAAGGCTAAGTTAAATCAAGCCTCGAATATCCAGATTTCCAATTGGAGTAAAATATTTCCATTTAGATCATAAAAATAATTAAAACAAATAAATATTTATTGTACAAATTTTGTATAAATAGAATAACAACTTTTTTTGCTTAAATTTTATACAAAAATGGATCGTTAAAAAAAAAAGTAAATCTGTTTTGCGTTTTACTTAAAGGCGGCTGATCACCTTTAACCGAAATTCGTTCCACTCCTCTTCTGAGTTCAAAAAGCTTTTCCACTTCATTCTCAATGGCTTGCAGAATTCGTCCAAGTGCTCTGCCCACAAAACATTTCTTTCCATAACCTTAAGATTGAGATAATGGATCAGGGAACTTTCGCTCCGAGAAAAATGTACCGATCCGATATATTTTAGATGAAGATCCCGAGCCAGAGTGTTTAGGTCAGTGCCATTCCATTTAGCACCACTTTCTTTTTTCTTTGCAAACCATTTTTGCAGGGCATTAATCTCTTCAAAATGTTCGCTCCCCCAAATCTGCGCCATATGCATTTCCATTAATCGTATCCAAGATTCATCCGTGCTTCTGAAATTCTCGAAATTATTCTTTGCTTCTGAAACCATTTTGAGCACTTGTTTTTTGGCTAAAAGCGTGGGTGATAAAATAAATCCGAAAATTTCTACCTCGGATGTTGTTTGAATCTCTTTTCCTTCTATGAACCATTGTTCAGATGCGGGAATTCGGCCGGCTTGCTTGAAAACCATAACCTTTGACCTTTCCATGTCGACCACCAAGGCCCATCTTCTAAAGTATTCTTCCAGGTGGTCAATCATACCTTGGAGCTCTTTGGCACTTTCCGAGAAAATGGCAATCCTACCAGAATGCATTAGGATCCCTATCCTGCGACCATCGATGACCAGTCCTCCCTTTAAATCTTTGGGGAGATCGTTTAGGTAGAGGGTCATCATAAGTGCTGTCAAGATTCCACGGTCATTTTGAAAGTAATCCCTTAGTTCGTCTTCGCAATGCTTCTGCGTGTAAACATCTCTTAAGTATTTTATTATTTTCGACGACACTCCCAAACTTTGAAGCTTGTACCACAAGAGATCTCTCTGAATCTCTGGGGATATCGATCCAAAGTGAACAAAATAGGAATATACCTTTCCTTTATCCGCCAACTTGATGCTGGCAAGGTTATATATGTTGTAGACAAAGTCCAGCTTGGAGGATTTGGTCGAGGTATATATCTCAAAATCACTTATCTTACGGTTCTTCCCGCACCACATAATAATCCTCTTGAGTACTATATTGAGCAAAATCTTCTTAAGATCGGATAAAGACAGAATGGTCGAGCCAATGGTTTGGTTGGCATCACATCTGTTAAAAAGCCTATCACATCGAATAGTTATTTCAGTAAGAAAATCTTGCAATGCGTTTCTCGAAAGCTGAGGGAAGGAGGCGCGTCTGAGAATAAATAACACTTCCTCGGCTTTTATGGCAGAGTCTAAGGTTGCATCGGTCACTAAAATGTTGGAATTGAACCTGACCAAATTTTGGGAGGGAGAACCTCTGGCGATTCGATTTCTCGGGAAGTCAAGATTGATTTCCAAACAAATGGGCAGGTGATCTGATCCATGTCGGGTTGGGCCCACCTCTGGCTTGTCCACCTTGAAGTCAACGATTGAAGGCATCAGATTCCGGCTAACGGCCGCCAAATCAATTGTCGAGTTGCCCCTTCCGCTGAAGTAGGTGTAACTTCCCTCTGAGTCCCCGTGCGTCAATCCATTCACAATAGTGAGTTCATTCTGAAGGCAAAAGGAGTGGAACTTGCTGCCCCTTTCGATCTTTTTGTCTGTGGATCGGCGACCGTTGGTGTTGGCGACACATGGATAGGGTTCCACAGCCTGCTTGATCTCGCCAATTCGGACGTTTACGTCGCCCAAGACTATTGCGTTCTCGATCGGAATTTCCCTCATTTCAAAGGCGCTTTTCACTGGTCCGAATTCGGTGTCCCATTTATTGGTGTGAATGTAGAGCGGAAATATGTTCACTTTCTCACGGCGAAAACACAGCTGTAGAATTTTGAAGCCATTTGTTTCCACAGCTGTGTGGGTTATCCCGAACTGAACCAGGGACCTCCTGATTGCAATTACACATCCACCGACTCCTCTGCCGTATCGAAGTTCCCTGGTTGCATCTTTCCAGGGCAAGATTTCGTAGTCCGGCTGCTGACTCTCAAACTCCCTAAAGGCTTCCGCATCCGGAAGTGTGTGGGTTTCCAGTAAAATGTAAATATCAAAATTAGCCAGGTATTCAATAAACTCCTTGTCGTTGTGCTTCCCTTTTAGACCGCGGATGTTGTATGAGGTAATTTTTATTGACCGGATTCCGGTGTTGTTTTCATTGGCGATCATATTTTGTGATTCTTCACTTCCAAATGCTGATTAACTACTGCAAAAAATCCAACAGTTGTATCTATATTATATGTGCACTTGCATCCCGCTTAAACAATGATAAGATAAAACAAGTAACAATATTAACTATTTACATTACATTACACTTACATTTACATACATATGTATATTCAAATTACATGCTCTTGCATCCGCTCAAATAAATAATGAGGAGCCCTTGCGAAATTCTTCTGATGAATCAGAGCTTTTCGTTGGTTGGTTGGTTTTACCCAATAGTTGTGATTTTGAGTTTTCTGCATATATGTTTATTTAATTTTTATTTTCTTCGTCTCCAACTGGTGATTAATATCTGGAGAATAAACCGATACTTGCATCTGGCTAAATCAATGATAAGATAAAGATATTTATGCACTTGTGAAATACCTAAGTAGATCAGCTATTAGTTGGTTTAGTTTTTTTTTGGATCCACTTTACATTTATTTTATATGGCTTTTATTATTTTTTTATTAGTTGCTTATTAAATTTTCTTTATTTTCTGATTGGAAACTTAAAAATTCTTAGCTTCGACGTGATTCTTCCTCAAATGGTGTAGATCGGTTCAGCTTAAAGCCTATCGATGTATATATCGGCTTTCAATTGGATTTAATACCGATAAATACTAGACAAGTTTGTTAACTTTATTTCCGAAATCCAATATTTCAATTTACTAGATTTTCTGAGTGTTCAAAACTTGGCAAACAATACCAAAACCATGCAGCAATCTCTAAGTCATAGATTAGTCCAAATGTGGCTTCATTGATTCCGGCTCAAACAACACTGCGTATGAGTAATGCTAATTTAAACCATTGCTCAGATGTATCTTATATACACTTTCAATATCGTCGATTTTAGAATCCCTTTAGTTCACACATATGAGACAATTAAATAAAACAAGAGCATTCACTTTGCTAACAATGTATAATTATCTAAACAGCCTCTCTTAAATACAAATCCTTAAGACTACGCTTTTAACAAATCGTTGGTTAGCTCCACACCGAAGAAAACTGCAGCGGTGGAGGGAAAGGCACGCAGTAAAATCGGGAGAATGCCGCGGAACAGAGCCCTAGGACCTTCAGTGGCCATTAGGTCCCTGAAAACGCTTCGAATACCGTGCTTGTAAGTGCCCTCAGGTGCTGCAATTTAAGCATTTATTAATCATGGCCAATGGAGTGAATTGTGGGTGCATGACTCACCGGACTGGAGACGGCTTTTAAGTACATCGAAGGGCACGGCCAAAGTCCAGAACACAATGCCAGCCGTTCCGCCAGACAGAATCGTTGATGTTGTGCTAATTTTTCCTGACTTGGACTTCTTTCTGGCCATTTCCTGCAGGAACTCATAGGTCACAAAGTAGAAACCGGTGGGCGAATCTGGGGATTGTTTATTATAAATTAAGTTATAATGTTTATGTTTATTAGAAAATATTATAAGTATAAGAATTATTTCGATAAGGGTATTACCTCTCAGAATGCAGGCACATGTTCCTTTGAAAAGGCTTCTAATTCCACCCTGCCTATAAAGTTTTACGGCTGTGTCTAGAGTTCCATTATAGAGTAGAGGTCCACTGGACACGGGTTGCGTTTGCAGCAGGACTTTAATTCGATCGGTGGGTACTGTGACCAGGGCGGAACAAACTCCGGCCATGGCTCCGGCAACAAAGGTTTGAGGGTAGGTGAGCCTTATGTGGTCATCCGTCTGGAATAACCTCTTGCCCGCCGCATAGACCGCAAAGTCCACGGCGTAGATGGGAGTTACGCCGACCAGCGGAGCGGATATTCCTCTATAGAATCCACGGAGTCCCTCCTGGCGGAAGATCCGCGCGGCACAATCTACAACCCCCTTGTATCGCGGCGGTTGTCCGGGCAGAGGCGTGGGCATGGTTTGCAAACGAACCTGATTGAAGTGAGGAAAAATCATAATGTCTGAAATTTAGTAAAGAAATCTTCTTGTCGAAACTACCTTTATTGTGTCCAAAGGATGGCCAACAAGCACATTGCACATGCCACCGACGCCGCCCGCAATAAAGGACTTAACGGGATTGGACTTTTTTCCCGTGGCAATTTCCACTTCCGTCATGGCGGAACGCGAATTGTTTACGTAAACCGAGTGAGAATTCCGTCAGCCTTTGAATGGACGCACGTGCGCGAAGATCGCAGCTTTCCGGATTTGTGCTATCGATTGATTATCTGCTGGCTGCGCGGTTGCTGACCTATGATAATACTGTTTGATTCCAAATTACGCTGGGATACTACTTCCATGATCAGTCGGCGGCGCTCTTATCTATTCCAAATATTTCATTTGATTCCACTTGAATTGCAGCGGCAACAGCTGATTAGTCTTCTATGTGAACTTAACATTATCCTAACATTGAGTTATCGATTGTTATTATTTTGATAACGGAAAATAGACCAAATGCAATTTAAATTATTTTTATTATAGTTTTATATTTAATGGTTATATTATTTAATTGCGAGCAAAATACCTTTTTGACCAATAATTTAAAACAAATTAAAAATAATAATAATTTATATATTATTTCATCAATAACAAAAAAATTCACGCAAAGACAAGATAATTGGTTGTGTTATCTGTTTTTATATTTTTGTCAAATTTTCAAGAAACATTGAAAGATTCAGAAATCACAACGAGAAACGTGAACCTTTAAATTTCCAGTTCGATAACACAACCTATTAAGGAGACATCGAAACCAAATTCCAATCGACAATCGCAGCGAAACGCGGGCGGCGGCCACACACTTTTTTAATACAAAAGAAGAGCCATGTTTGAGCGTTAAAAGTAAACTGTTGGCAATTGTGGTTAGCAAAGTGGATGGCCAATTACCCTTTGAGGGAGATCAGGGGCCATAAAATACGGAAACCACTTTTCCAGCTGTTGGGGAGCACAACTAGAGCTCGCACATTTGATGTGACCTGACGCAGAAGAAGAAGAACTCTCGGAGAGAACGTAGAACAACAACAACAAAGGGAAGAAGAAGAAGAGGAACATTAGCAGCAGGCCAAATTGTTGCGTATTGTTTTTTACATTTTCAGTAGGGTTTTTTTCGGGTGCAAACTTCGTGAAAATAGTGTGTTGCCAACATACGCATAACTTATGTCTGATAAAAGTGCACAGGAATCATGTATCAGTAAGAGTGCGAGCTGCAGCAGCAGGCGCAAGAGAAGAAAGTGAGCGAAAAAGTGAGCAAAAGTATATATTCTAGTACCAGGCAACGTGCAGCGTGCTCAGTCAAACGATGTCCCATGGCGAGGATGTGTTAGACAACTGGGAGGAAATCGATGAGGCGGGGGTGAGTACGGACCACAATTGAACTATGAGAATTTTGCCCTCTAAAACTAATGAAACATCCCTTCCGTAGCTCTCGCTTACTCTGCAAACAAAGCTGCAGGCGAGCGACCAACCTGCCCACAAGATGAAGCTGCTTCAACGGCCACAGAGCCAAGAGTCCCCACAAGTCATTGGCAGCGGCGGCGGGAGCGGGAATCCCCTGCCCCGGCAGATCACCATTGCCCGGAAGCCCCAGTCAGCACCGCCAGCAGAGGTTGATCCGTCTGCCCAGCAGACGCCCGTCATGATGGTGCTGCACAAGTCATCCAACGAGTATGATGCGGCCACCTATGCCACTCCCACCAGCAACCAGACGGTGAAGATCCTGCGCCGACCCGCCCAGGCGGAGGAGCGAAGGGACACCAACGGGATGCGACCCAAGCAGCCCATCAAAACGCTTAAGCAGCGCGAGCAGGAGTACGCCGAGGCCAGGTTGCGCATCCTGGGTGCAGCCAAAAACCCCGAAGATGACAAACCGTTAGTATTAAACCCTTTAAGGCTGTATAATATTCTTTGATCCCAAGACATAAAAGGGCGTTTCCATAACATTCATTATATCGTCTTCAACTTTTATCGCAAAAGTCAGAACCTGAATATTACTAAAATTATTTCCCAGTTGTATTAACTTTAAGTGTGTCAGTGGATCAAATTGAATGTGTACCTATTACTTTAATTAAACCTATTTTATTTTGTTATCTTACTTTAAGGGTAACTCCAAGCGCGCCTGCGGCAAACAGTAACAGTGCGACTGCATCGCCCTCGGCGCCGTCTGCCACTCCACCCGCTGCCAGCAGCAACAACAACGTCATTAACAACAATGGAAGCCATCCAGCAGCCGGAATGCATCGCTCCAGCTCGGCTCCGAAGATGTCCCAGGTGTCGCCGATGTACAATAACTACAACAGCTACTTCCAGGGGCCGCACAATCAGCCGGGCCTGAACTACTACTATCCGCATAACCCGCAACAGCAGCAGCAACAGCAGCCGTCGGCCTCGATTCCTCCGCATTTCAACCAACGGCTGCCGCCGTACGGAGGCGGAGGGTCTGGACTGGGAGGCGTGGGAATCCCTCCCCAGGCGCAGCATCAGTCGTCGCCCAATCCGCAGCAGCAGAGCTGGTCGCCCGTTGTGGGCGGTTCGGTATCTGCCGCCCTTTTGCGCCAGCAGTCGCTGCAATCGCCACAGCAGCAGCAGCAGCAGAATCAGCAGCAGCTCGTCCAGCATCCGCATCCCTTCAACGACCTCGTCCTGCGCTTGCCCAAGGGTCCTTGTCCGAATGGCTCCATTGGCTTTCAGATGCGCCGGTAACAGAGTACAGCGGAGGAAAGCGGCCTGTCTATTTTAACAACTTCTTAATTTCATCTTGGTACATTGATTCCAAATGCATGTTTCTATATATAAAGGAAAAACAACCGAAAACAACAACCCACGAGTCATTCTGAGATTTTTGTCGCCGGGCATTGAGCTCCGGCTCAATGCGACGCAAATTCGTTGCTATATCCACTGGCTAGACCCAAGCATCAACAACTATGTAAACAAATTTTTATGACGGACTATGGTAGATATTTTGTAAATTTACAACTCACACCACACAATTTTGTATAATGCATACTAATAAAACGAAACAGTAATTTTAAAAATAATGCATTGCTTCCCAGTTCTTAAAACCAAAAGTTTGGCTTTCCGCAAATACCGATTGGATATTTCCTTGTTCATTATCATTATTCTGAATCCGTGTTGTTTGGCTCGGTTGGTGTTATTTTCTTTCCACCCTGATTATGGTTTATGAAGTACAATGATCTCTCAATACTGACTCAAGATCTGATCGTGTTTATTGCCTGCTGTTTTTCAATACCTAATAAATCAGCGGATGTTGTTTCGAACTCGTTTTCGACCTCATTAAGTCTTGCCAGTAGTCTGTTTGGGTTCATATTACCTAACTTTTGGACACTTGTGTTTTAAAGTAATTTCAATCTTGTTTCTAAAATATTGTTTGGTAAAAGTTGTAAAAGTTTGACTGTAAATGACTAGGTTCACAGGAAATCACAACCCAATTGTAGTAGCAATTGTAGAGTTTTCTTTTATCATTTTAAAAAATGTTTAAGCTTTATATCAAATAACCTGGTCTAGTCAAATCTGTGTTCTCAAGCAGCTGATCTATTGGGTCTCATCATAGTAAGTATAAATAGAGGAATAATTCCAGAATTTTCTTATGTTATTTTGTTTATATTGAACTGATAGGCGATGCAATTTACATTTACCCCCAGCAATCGGTGATTTTCAGAGGTCCCGAAAGGCTATCGTCGTGTTTTTGTTATTTATTCGCAACTTTTGAAACCGACCTGCTTGAAAACAACAAACAGTGCGGTACACGGAAAAAAATGTTGCGGTTGACATGCGTATTTTTATGTAGGATATCATATCCTACATATGTGTAAATACTTATTTCATTTATCCCCAACATTGGTGTGCGGTTTAAAGTTACAACAATTCAAACGTTTTGGATAACTTTTAATGTTTTTAAACTCTTAGCAAATTATACAAACACTTCTTCTAACAGTCGATAAGATATGAATACAGTCTTGAAAAACGAGGCAGTCATATAATTTTTTTTATCTGTATACAAAAAACTGCAATCGTCCCACTGGAACCGCTCTTATCAGCCCGAACCTGAGTACAGACATAATCGTACATCTCGTGAACATACATATGTACATTTATGAATGTCTACCTAGGCCTAGGCGTTTGCTACCCATGAAAGCATATTCAACTTCGATTCCAGATTTTAGTTGAAAACGAGGCGTCGAGCCGAGCGGTTTAATTTTGATCCAAAGTCGCTGGAACAGCTGAAAACATAGCATAGAAATATCGCGTGTGTGTTGTGTATTCTCACTCTCGTTGGCTCTCACTCTCTTTTGATCGCCAAGCTTAACACGTGGGCGAGAATTAATAAAGTTATTATTATTGCTTTGAAAACGTGATTAGTTCTTGTTGTTCTCGATCTAAAAATATGTCGCACCGCGTTTTGGTAATTGGAAGTGGAGGTCGGGAGCACGCGATCTGCTGGAAATTGTCGCAATCTCCAAAAGTTTCCAAAATCTTTGCATTGCCCGGCAGTAATGGAATCCAGCAGGTGGACAAATGCCAAAATCTGGAGTCTCAGATCTTGGATCCAAAGGATTTCGAGGTAGGTTCATCTTTCCGACCTTGGTTTAACCTCTATCTGAGGGTTAACGTTACTAAAAATCGCTTTTATGAGTGTGTTGATTGGGTTACCGGTGCAGCTTCAGCAAACATCTTGCGGATTTTTTGGCATTTAATTCGCCTGGTTTCGTTTAATTGCCACAGTGATTCGCTTTTATGGCTTCGGATCATGGTAAAACCATGCACTGCATGCTTTTCGAGATTTTTTCGCTAAGCGACAGCCATAAATCCGTAATCGAGACTCTGGGAAAGCGTTTTATTGCAGTCGATCTGATCTGATAGTGCCCGGTGGCTTAACCCTTCAGCGGGCCTCTGGGCTTCCAACAGTTTCGCTGATAAGTGAGTTCAAAAAGTGCAAGTTTCTTTGAGTAATCTATCGCAAGCTGTAACATTAATACGAAAATGTTACCTACAAATGCATTTTGTAATTTTATGGTTATTTTATTTTAGTTTAGTAGAAAATTGTTTTGTGTTTTAGCATAATTACTGTTACAGTATGTAAATATATAAAATACCTTCTTCGATTGGTTCTTATACATAATTTAGTGAAAATATTTACTACTGTACTATTACTATATTACTGACAAGCTTTTAATATTTTAAAAGTATCAATATTTATATATACTCGTATAATATTTATATTCTCCCAAAATTTATATGTACTCGTACATATCTGTGTACTGGGGTATTTATATACATATATGTATATTTATATACATACAGTAGAATTATGTTATAACGACTCCGCTTATAGTGTCCGTCCGGTTTTTGCGACGAAAACTCCATGGCTTGATTGGTCCCTATACAGACTTATACACTTAAATCCTTCTGCTTAGTACGTCTTCCGGGTATAACAACGAAAAATCGTCGGTCCCTTGAAAGTCGCTATAAGCGGATTCTACTGTATATATTATATATACCATATAATGGAAAGTTACTACAAATTAATGGATTTGGGCCATTGAAAGATGTTATTTTGTAATTTTTTAATAATTTATAGTTTGACAGTTTAATTTCAATGCCGCTTTTGTAAGGTAACTTGTGCCCGTAACCCGTGATATAATAAAAGCTGGCATAAAAAACAAAATTTTAATTTTTGGCAGCTAGAATTTTTTGTCAAACCCACCGGCCTTATGAATGAATTGCCTTGAACGTTGATTAAACACTTTTTTAATGAAATAACAATTAAAGAGTCCATAATTAATTTAAAAATTATGCAGGAGCCATCGAAAGTAATGAACTTTCCGTTACCAATAAACAAATTGATTTTTAATGAAATCGTAGAAGCATTACCGCAACGATTGCCAACTTAAAACCGGCTTGAAAGCTTCTTCATTTTGGTTAATTAATTATGGCAAGTAGCCTCGAATACAAGAACTTTGGCTTAATGTATAAAAAAGGCATATTGGATCCTATAATTCATTAGTGCATTTCTTAAAATCAGTAACAGCAGATGTTACCTGTTTTGATATTAATAAATGTTAAACTTAAAAATCAAAACAAGCACTGATTTTGTACTGCGACCCGTATCAAAAAAATGATCAGGTAGTTGTTCTCCACACCACTCCTTAAATGATTGTCATCCTATAAACATAATCAAATGTCCAAAAATGTTTATATCGTTGTCTACGAAGTTCAGCAGACAAGTCAACGGATCGATTAACAATAGCGATCTTTTGTTGTCGCCCAACACTTTAGCTAACGTTTGCTTAGCACTTCTATTTATTGTTCGTGGCTTAATTATTTGTTTAGATCAAAATTCACAGATTCGTCTGGTGGATTCCAAAGAGACCAGCCCCTTCCCCCTCAAAGTGTTCCCTCGAGAACCATCGATCATCAGTGTAGCGGAGCACCTCGTCTTTGCCGCAGAGGTCGCAACGTGGTCGTGGGCGGATGGGTCAGGTAGATGGTCTTTGGAGTGGTGCTCGGACGTGATTTGGGTGCCTTTGCATCCTGGTTGTTGCGGGTGTACACATTGAAGGCGGCCGCGTCGTGCTCCACGGTCTTCAGCTCGCCGGTGTAGTAATCCCTGACCTGGTACGGATGCGTCCTTATGTACTCCAAGGCGCGCAGAATGTAGTCGGGAACTTGGGGGATGTGCGAGCCCACGGGATGGTAGCCGAACTCGTCGGCCACATAGCTCGTGCTGATGACTTCGCCCTCGGGCGAGGTGTAACTGTTGCCGCCCTGGACGGACACACCGCCCAGTCCCTCCTGCGATGCGGAGATCCCGTTGGAGGTCTCGTAGGCGTAGCGGTAGTTGCCGTCCCGCTCCACCTGCAGATCGTTCTGGAGGGTGTGGGTGTTCCGATCCGAGTCTGGGACGTAGGAGCCGGCCTGCACCTGCATCACGGCCAGCGCAACGATAAAGTTCACCTGTGGGTGGACGAGAGACATCGATTATAATCCGTTTTCGGGGAAACCCCAGACTGACTGGCGGGCAGACGAGATTGGCAGGCTTACAAGGAAATACATGGTGTCGCGCTCGAGTTTGGTTCTAAACTGCTTGTCTGGTTCGCGGACGCTTTCGTTTTTATATCCATCCGCTCACCAGCGGATTTTTGGCAGTATTTCGCCTCGGAAACCCAGTTGCGAGCCGCCGTCTCCATCTCCGCTCGTCATCGTCATCATGATCATCATCTACATCATCGCTGTTGGCTGCCTTAGTCAGTCATAAATAAAATGATTTTATTTCTTATAAGTATTATTTTATATAGGTATCAACGACGTTATTTGTCGTTGTCGCCGTGGCTGCAGTTTTAAAAGTGTGGGATGGTTAAATCCAGCCGAACGGAAAGAAGAGTTAAACTTTAATGAAACATTCGTGAATGGTTATGCCCTACTCGAAGGTTGGGGCACTCACATTTGATATGTATGGTGGCTGATCTTGAAAATCCCCATATTGCCCTGCTTGACTTACATTCCCAAGGAACTCTAAATTCAGCGGCGATCGTTGAACTGCACGTCGTCGTAAAAATATAATTGATAAAACCTGCACCCTGGGTGATTTATAGATTCGTAAAGATAGTACTTGTTGAAATTCCTTATACAAAGTATTAGATATAAATTAAAATGATTTACAAATTTTAAATATATTGTTGAGAGTTCCGTTAGGGGTGTGTAAAATGGAGATATCTTTCCAATTAATCATACATTTTGTACAGCTAGAATGTCGAATTTTGAAGCTTTGGTTAAAGTAAAGCGAAGCTTAATTAATTGTTGACCTTAGTTCATAATGCTACACTCTTTGTTCTTTTACTTTCATAGCTATTCTTAGAAATTGCATAGTTCGATCATCGAGGTGAGCATAGTTATTCTGATAAATGATGTTTGGGTTTATCTGCAAGCATATAATTCAAGCACTTGGCCGAAATTTCCTGCTTGATCCCAGCTGTCTCCCGCCTGGTACTTTTTTTGGCCAGTTCAAAAAACCCGTCCGACTAATTCAGCAAAGCGTATCTAATTCCTTACCTATCCGCAAACAAATGTGGCAGCATTCTTTCCCAACCTCACCGCCCCCTCCGGATCCCATTCTCCCGCACCTAATTTGCATATAATACAGTAAATCACGAGCGCACTCTGTAAAGCATAAAGACGAAAACGTTCTAACCAAATTTGGGAAGAGCCAGTCGGAGAATGCGAGTTAGCCAGAGCCAAAAAAACATACATTGTGTATATAAAGTTGTTGATCTTTCTTTTCACTTTGTCGCTTCCATCTGTCATAAGATCTCCGTAGCCTTCGTTACGGGAAATTAAAGCCTTGGCCGCGTTTGCCAAGTAGCTCTTAATTCGGAAAGCCGAGAGTGGACCAATAAAAACGTAATTCCGTGTGAACGTTCTTGAACCCTGGGAAAGAGCGAACCGGACATGGGGGGACGTCAGGAAATCGGGATGAGTCCCTCAGGTGCTAAATGGTCTGGAACGCAGCGAGCTGCAATTTCGACACGTTTCACCGGAGCTGCGGGTAATCCGATTCTGCGTTGGCGCCAATTCGAATTAGAGCTGACTAACGATATCGACGACTCCGAAATCGAAACCGAAACCGGACCAGCGATCGAGCTGGGATTAACTTGGTTTGTTGACATGGCTGACATAGCTGCCGGCTGAGTCAGTTCATCATCTCCGGTCTCCAATCGCCAATCTCGCAGCTGCCATCTCCCATCCGAATCTGAAGACAATGCACCCCCGAGCTCGGTTTAATGGCAGAGCAATTAGGAAGGCATTTAGTATTTTGGCGACAAATTGACGATGGAACCGGTTGAGTACTTAGAGGAGTGTTATCTCCCATTTGGAATGTGGTTACGAAAATTGAAAACAACCCAATACAACGAGAGTCCCAAGAAGTGGCCGATAGTCGTGACCCGGTTTGATTGGAAAAACCAATTGTGATCCCATAATTAAAGATTGTTTTGCAAGCACACTGGTTACAATGCCATTTTCGAGATTCAGGGTGTCACATATTGGATCTAAATTGAATCGATATTCTCCTTTATATTTCATAAAACATTTAAACAAATTTATAATCATTTTTGATCAGTGTATCGACTGTAAACAAGATTCCAAAGTCAATTAAGTAATTTGATTTTAACATTGGCAATTTAAACAACGGTTATTTGATTATATTTAATCGCATCGGGCTTATCGGGGCATGTTTTGTTTTGGATGATTTTAAATAATTCGAAATATTTGACCACATTTGTTATGAAGTTATGAATCACTTAACGAGTACATTAAGGAAAGTTATATCTCTTGATTTGACTTACTTTTTCGGACTGTTAATATTTCCATTAAAAGTAAAAATAACATTTTGGTATTGAAATCCATTTATAAACCAGTAAAGTGGTAGTGTTACCCAGCTATAAGCTATAAGCTTTATGATTATATTTTGTATTATTTTTTTTGATCATCAATTTTATCTCCCTTTTTTAGGCCATTGCCAAGTGGAGCAAAGAAAACCAGATAGACCTAGTGGTTGTGGGACCCGAAGATCCTTTGGCTTTGGGCCTGGGTGATGTGCTTCACAAGGAGGGAATCGCCTGCTTTGGACCCGGAAAGCAAGGTGCCCAAATCGAGGCGGACAAAAAGTGGGCGAAGGACTTCATGCTGCGCCACGGAATTCCAACGGCGCGTTACGAGAGTTTCACGGACACGGAAAAGGCTAAGACATTTATCAGAAGGTATAGTTAAGATCTGAATATATTTATTTAATGTAAAGCTAATATGTATAACATTTCCCTTACAGTGCTCCCTATCCAGCTTTGGTGGTTAAGGCAGCTGGCTTGGCGGCAGGGAAAGGCGTGGTGGTGGCTGCCAATGCGGAGGAAGCCTGCCAGGCGGTAGACGAGATCCTGGGACAGCTGAAGTACGGACAGGCAGGAGCCACCTTGGTGGTGGAGGAGCTGCTGGAGGGCGAAGAGGTCTCCGTGTTGGCCTTCACCGACGGCAAGAGTGTGCGCGCCATGCTCCCCGCCCAGGATCACAAGCGTTTGGGCAACGGAGACACTGGACCGAACACCGGAGGAATGGGCGCCTACTGCCCGTGTCCCCTGATCAGCCAGCCAGCCCTGGAGCTGGTCCAAAAGGCCGTCCTCGAGAGGGCAGTCCAGGGCCTGATCAAGGAGCGGATCACCTACCAGGGCGTCCTCTATGCGGGCCTCATGCTGACACGCGATGGTCCCCGCGTCCTGGAGTTCAACTGCCGGTTCGGAGATCCGGAAACCCAGGTGATCCTGCCGCTGCTCGAAAGCGATCTCTTCGAGGTGATGCAGGCCTGCTGCAGCGGTCAGCTGGAGAAGGTTCCCCTGCAGTGGCGCAACGGAGTCAGTGCAGTGGGTGTGATCCTAGCCAGTGCCGGATATCCAGAGACCTCCACCAAGGGATGCCTCATAACGGGTAATACTTTTAGATCTCCCTAGGAATTTCTTAATTACTTTTGTGATCTTTTTAGGACTTCCGACTGCCAACTCTCCCACTCAACTGGTGTTCCACAGCGGCCTGGCTGTGAATTCGAAAAAAGGAGGCTCTGACCAACGGCGGTCGGGTCCTAATCGCCATTGCCTTGGATGGCAGCTTGAAGGAAGCCGCCGCCAAGGCCACCAAACTGGCTGGCAGTATCACTTTCTCCGGCTCTGGAGCTCAGTACCGAACGGACATTGCCCAGAAGGCATTCAAAATGTAATTACAAATGAATCATCCATCAAAAGACATTTTAAATAAAGCATCCAACGATTTGAAAACGGAATTTAATAAGGATCCTAGAAGAGGTTAAGAAGTGATTTTGATATAGATTAGGAAGTTAACTGGTTATGGAGTCTTAGTATCAAATGAAATATATTTGCGTTCTTTGTACAAATTTTTTTTTTTTGATATTGTACTATATAAAAAAGTATTGAGGTAAACTGTAAGATCTATGGGTATAAAATTGCTGTTCTGAGTACTTCATTTTTTTTACGATGAGCTCAAGGAAAATTTAAGCAGTTGAGGGAGCATCTCTCCGATAAGAATAGACTTTGGAAAAGGGGCTCAAAGTTCCAAGTTATAAAAAATTAATATCTTTTCTTAAAAACCTTTTTATCTTTTTACTTAGTTGCTATATATTTTGAATCTAGAAATTAACATTTCTATAAAAATAGTTATCCGAAAAGTCATTTATATCAATTATATCATTTTATATCAATTGTTTCATTTTACAATGCTTATCCAAGTCATTATGCTTCATTTACTCCCGTGAACCACTGGAGCTTAGAAATATCTTAATTAATTTTATTTAGTTTGTTGTATAGTTCGATTGCTCATTATTAATTTTCAATTCAAGTAAATTGCCATTATTAACCCCATTGGTCCTGTATCTCTTTCCATGCATTTCCCATACTTAGAGCTACTGCAAGCTCACCGGGGCTGAGTTACAAGGACAGCGGAGTGGACATCGATGCTGGGGATGCTCTGGTGCAGCGCATCAAGCCCTTGTCCCGCGGAACCCAGCGACCGGGTGTCCTCGGCGGCTTGGGCGGGTTCGGAGGACTCTTCCGGGTGAAGGAGCTCAACTACAAGGAGCCAGTCATCGCCGAGGCCACCCAGGGAGTGGGAGCCAAGATCCAACTGGCCTTGGATCACGAACTGTACGAGAATGTTGGCTACGACCTGTTCGCCCTGGCTGCCAATGATCTCCTGGAATTTGGAGCCGAACCGGTGGCATTCCTGGACTACATTGCCTGTGGCAAGCTGCATGTTCCACTGGCCGCCCAGTTGGTGAAAGGAATGGCCGATGGCTGCCGAGATGCCCGATGTGCCTTAGTGGGTGAGCACATGACCAATCTTCACTTAAATCCAATAAATTACATTCAAATTACATTCTTCCAGGTGGCGAAACTGCGGAGATGCCTTCTCTTTATGCTCCCGGTCAACATGACATGGCTGGTTATTGCGTGGGCATTGTGGAGCAGTCTCGCATCTTTCCCCGTTTCGATCTTTACCAGCCGGGTGACCTGCTGGTCGGCTTGCCCTCATCTGGACTCCATTGCGCCGGCTTCAATGAGATACTCACCCAGTTGGCGGCAGCCAAAGTGAATCTCAGGGAACGCTCGCCCGTTGATGGTGGCGAGGATGGGTTGACCCTCGCCCATGTCCTGGCCACGCCCACGCGCCTTTATGTCCAGCAGTTGCTGCCGCATCTTCAAAAGGGAGATGAGATTAAGGCGGTGGTCCATGTGACTCATGGTCTGCTGAACGACGTCCAGCGTCTTCTGCCCGAAGGATTCGAAACGACGCTGGACTTCGGTGCTGTTCCGGTGCCCAAGATCTTTGGCTGGCTGGCGGGGAAGCTGCGACTCAGTGCCCAGACCCTTCTGGAGCGACAAAACTGCGGCATCGGCTTGGTTCTGATCCTTCCCCAAACGAGTCAGCTGTGGCGAACCTCCCTGCCAGGAGCCAAGGTGCTGGGTGTCCTGCAGCGGAGGACGAAGGCGAGTGCTTCTCCCGTCCAGGTGCGCAATTTTGTGGAGCAACTGCAGCAGGTGGCCGCCCCCTTCGGAGGCCTTGGTCAACGGGAGCTGCCCGAGGAGCTCAAGGAACTGCCTTCCGATTTGACTGTAACAGCTCCTCGCGCAGAATGCTTTCAAAATGCAGCTGGACGTCGGTTAACCCGGATTCCCGGTCACTACAAGGACCCCATCCTCATCCTGGGCACCGATGGCGTGGGCACCAAGCTGAAAATAGCCCAGCAAACGAATCGCAACGCCAGCGTGGGCATCGACCTGGTGGCCATGTGCGTCAACGACATCCTCTGCAACGGAGCCGAGCCCCTCAGCTTCTCCAGCTACTATGCCTGCGGTCGTTGGCAGGGGAACCTGGCCAAGGAGGTCCACTCAGGAGTTCTGGAGGGTTCCAGGCAGGCCAACAGCAGCTTCATTGGTAAGTAAATCATTTGGGTTTGATCGCTTTAAGCAGAAAAATGGGGATTGGGATTAACATAAATAAAGAACTTGTAGTGGAAGATTATTTTTTTAAGCACTGAAGCTATGTATCGTTAAAAGAATTCTTACCTTTTAATTGATTCCACATTACAAAGTTACTGGCTTTGGATATGCATAAATAGTAATGTTTACTTTAAAATTTAGAGTCTTAAGGAAAGGATCGAAGAAAAATTCAGTCTATAGTTAGTGTGCATAAAGAGATATAAGTTGCAATCAATCTGAAACCATTTAAAAGTACAAATGTAACCCATTCGTGACTACAATATTTTTGTACAAGTTTCACACCAAACCTTTCTTTCAATCTCTTTCAGCTTCGCACAGCGCTGCTCTTCCTCTGCTTTACGAACCGCAGGTGTACGACCTGGCTGGCTTTGCCTTGGGCATAACCGAACGCTCCGGCATCCTGCCCCTTCTGGATGACATTCAGCCAGGAGACGTGCTCATCGGACTGCCCTCGTCCGGTGTCCACAGCAATGGCTTCAGCTTGGTCCACGCCGTTCTCAAGCGAGTGGGATTGGGACTCAACGACAGGGCTCCGTTCAGCGAGAAGACGCTGGGTGAGGAGCTGCTGGTGCCCACCAAGATCTATGTCCAGGCACTGTCCACCCTTCTGACGCGAGGGAATCACGGCATCAAGGCACTGGCCCACATCACGGGAGGAGGACTCAGCGAGAACATCCCGCGAGTGTTGCGGAAGGATCTGGCCGCCCGCTTGGATGCCAACAAGTTCCAGCTGCCACCTGTGTTCGCCTGGCTGGCTTCGGCCGGGAACATCAGTTCCACTGAGCTGCAGCGCACCTACAACTGTGGATTGGGTCTGATCCTGGTGGTGTCTCCCACGGAAGTGGAGGATGTCCTCAAGGAGTTGCGCTATCCGCAACGAGCTGCTGTCGTCGGTGAGGTGATTGCCCGCAAGGATCCGAAGAAACCGCAGGTGGTGGTCCAGAACTTCGAGGCCTCTCTGGCCAGGACCCAGAAGATCCTCTCGCTGCCCCGGAAACGAGTAGCTGTCCTCATCTCGGGAACGGGCAGCAACCTGCAGGCACTGATAGATGCCTCTCGTGACTCGGCGCAGGGCATCCATGCGGACATAGTGCTGGTGATCAGCAACAAGCCAGGTGTCCTCGGTCTGGAACGCGCCACCAAGGCTGGAATACCTTCGCTGGTCATCTCCCACAAGGATTTCGCCAGCCGAGAGGTCTACGATGCGGAGCTTACGCGAAATCTGAAGGCGGCAAGAGTGGACTTGATTTGCCTTGCCGGCTTCATGCGAGTACTGAGTGCTCCGTTTGTGCGGGAGTGGCGCGGACGTCTGATTAATATCCATCCCTCGCTCCTGCCCAAGTATCCGGGTCTGCATGTCCAGCGGCAGGCTTTGGAGGCGGGCGAAAAGGAGTCCGGCTGCACTGTTCACTTTGTGGACGAGGGCGTGGACACGGGAGCGATCCTTGTGCAGGCCGCAGTTCCCATTTTGCCCGGTGACGATGAGGACTCGCTGACGCAACGCATACACACCGCTGAGCATTGGGCTTTCCCGAGAGCACTGGCGCTCCTGGCCAGCGGAGCAGCTCGACTTTCTCCCGAGGGCAGCCAGTGAATGGTTTTCTCTTCCTTAAAGGGTTTAATAACAACGCTTGACGACTTGAATTAATATCACAGGAATGGATGCATACGTAATCCATTTATACAAATATATACGTCCCCAACTCGAAGACTTTTCAAGTCCAACTAGTGAATAATAAAAGTAATAACATCGCACTTTTTGTGAGACATAAATTGTTTAGAATTTAAGAATTTTTATAGGTTAAGACTGTTTTTTGTTTTAAACAAATAAATATTTGTAAAAAAAATTTATATTTTAATAACCTTTATTTAAAACGACAATTTTTAAGAATATGTTTAGAAGGTATTTGTGGTTTCTGTTGAGTTTAAAATTTGTTTTTTTTTAACAAAAATAAGAACTCTAATTGCACTATTTAGACCTCAATGGCTTTAAAAAACTAGTGCTCAATTAGCCCTTGCAGGTACAAAAACAATACCATATAATCCTTTCAATTTAATCACAAATTAACTACATTTTTCTCTACTTCCCTTGGGAACCTAATATCACATTTCTGACAATCACAAATTTTCCATTACAACAGTTTGCTGATTAGTGAAAACAGACTTGTACTCGTACTTCCCTGATTTTCTATACTACTCTTGGCTTTAAATTTCACTTCCGGGCGGGTAACGTTACGCTGCAAGCCCGGATCCTTAAATATAGGTTCTGCCATCCTGTCCAGATGCAGGCGAAAGAACTGGTTCTCCAGGATGGGCACTATCAGGTTGTACTTGTCGATGAGCTTGTTCAATTGTTGGACGTCCTCCTGGTGCTGTTGGGTAAACCTTTGCCAGGCATTAAGATCCTCGGAGCGTTGCAGTGGCCATTCCCCATAGTAGATGCGCTCTTGGCGCAGCTCCTTCTTTAACTGGGAAACCGCATCTCGAATGTCCTTGCCAAGACTGATCCACTCCGGCGTGAATCCGTTGTCCAGCATAATCTTGTTCAGCTTGTGGGTGGTGAAATCCAGATATGGATTCTGCGACTGAGCTGAGGACAGTGGTTTGCCGGATCCGTTGAGATTGTTAAAATCGCCCTTGGACATGGCCTCCTGGATTAGATCCTCGACCACGCGATCGATGCCGTATTTGGTCTTGATGGCATGCTTGCGAAAGTGATTGCCTCCCTTCGACATCAGGGTTTTTTCCCCGGCCGCAGCCTTGTCGATGCGGTGCTCCAAAACGCGCTCCTGGGCCTTCATGGCGCGCACCTGCTGGTATTGCTTCTGCCTCTGGAAGGGATTGCCTATGCCGATGCCCTCGTTGGACAGATATTGTCGGTGCTGCGGCGCCGTGTGCTTGATGTCGAACTCCATGGCCTCCTCCTCATCCTCTTGGATGTTGCGCCTGCCTTTGGCGAACTTCTCTTGCAAAACGCGAAAGGCCTCATCCACCTGCTGGAAACGCTCGGCACTGGCCTCTTCGGTCCCGGAATCCGGATGCACCCGCTTCACCAGATCCAAGTAGGCATGTCGCACCGTGTTCTGATCCGCCGACTCGTGAACGCCCAGGATGCGAAAGCACTCCTGGTGATAAGCGATTGCGTAATGGTTTAGGGAATCAAGAGATCTTGGAAGCCTTTCACTTACCATATAAACCTCTTTGCGTTTGAGGTGCAACAAGCGAAAGGGGTTGCGAGGAAAAGCTCCTGCCAACAGCTTTCCCGCCAGCAACATTTTTCACTTTATTTTATAAAGTTGTTTGTACTCTTTCGAAACTGGCAACCTGACAACTAAAACATTCCTAATATTATTAAACTTTGTTTATGTTTTTTGAGGAGATCAGCTGATTTGATAAAGTACTGTGTGTGTGTGGTGTAGGGCGATGACAGTATTTTTATACTAACGGGGCAATAATCTTTTGGTATCTTTTCGCATTTATGGTCACACCCAGGGATGGGTAATCTAAGAAGCAGTTAAAATTGAATTAAATAAAATTTTATATGTTTGTCAATATTGTTTATAAAACTTGTTAGGATACTTGTTTAAATTGCATTATTGGTCAGTCATACGGAGATCTGCTTCATAAAATTTGTTATTTTTCTTAGCTGTTATTTAAATTTATTATATTATTAGAAATGAATTTACAAAGATTATAACTAAAATAATAATACAAATTAAAAAGGGAATCTGCTGGCTTACATTTGCAACCCAAATGTGAAAACTGGCGGAGAATTGGGGAAACTATTCTAAGTGAAATTACAGGCATCTGGAAGGCGTTCTCAAGCGAAAAGGAGCACAATTATTAATGGAAATGTGCATATAATGATGAATGTGTAGCCAGTTAAAGATTGAGGCGTGATAGTTGTTATTTTTTCTATTAGTTAAAGTTTATGCGTGCTTGATCTCACTGAATGTCTAACCCAAATTCACAGTGGAAATTATTTTTTTTAACACGTTGTTCTTAGACTAGCTAACTGCCATTAATGTCTGGCGATGACCAAATCTGCGGTTGGGCGAAGCTCATCTGCAATTCAAAGTCATATTCATGCTCTACATAAACTGCACTTGTTTGTCTAGGTAATTGTGTCATAATTAATAAAAGAAAAGAAAGAAATTTTAAGGCAAAATGGTTGAATAACAACTTCGTGTTAGATATATAATATATATAAAGTATCTAATATATTTAAATACTTATAAACATAAATAACTATTTATGCTGCACTTGAGATCTTCTTGAATAAAAACTATATTAAGTTTTAGAGTAAATTTATTGTTATAAACTTGTTTGATTTTGAACTCGTTGGAATAATTATGATTTAATTGGTTGGTCGAGTTATTTTCCAGATTTTGTTAGATTACCGGTCTGGGCAGTTGCTTGCGCTATGTTTTCTTTTCGAAGCATCCCGTTTGGCCTGTTCGGGGTGGCACATTAGCATATATACGAACAGGATGTGCACAAGTTGCCCCAAATACTATTGGTTTACCATGTCGCAGACAGATCTGTGCCACGGATGTTCTATTCATCATCTTCCACGATATCGGGCGTGTAGAGATCGAATACGTCGAGGAATTGGGCCAACTTCTTGCCCAAAAAGCCGCCCAAGAAAATACCAGGTATTACAGTGAGCATTATGCCGACATACATGTAAGTATTGCTTCGCTTCGGAATTTTAGTTAGTTCTTTAAATTCGTTGTGTATATCACCGCGACCAAATGGCATTTTTGTTATTTAGGTAGTTGCTAGTGTTATTTTTTTAAGGAAGTCGAACACTACAAAATTCTGATGGAAATGTCAAGACTTTCTCCCACCAAAATTGGACAGGCACGCCCCAGAACCTAAACCCTCATCGGAATATTTGAGTGTGCGCCCTATATGGAACTTCCGTTCTGCTGGCTCAACTGTCCGATTTTGTCAACCGTCTGATTGTCCCTCTTCAGTTGGACAAGTACAATTGCCTACATTGCCGTCTACAGAAGCAAAAGGTTGTGTATTCGGTTAACGGAGCGTAAAAAGAATGGTTTAAAGTGGAAATGTTTTAACGTGAAATATAACAAATTTAAATAGTAATTAGAGTACAATTTCGTTCTATTCAACATTTTCTATCTTCTTTCTTCATTCACCAAATTTTTTTAATTACACTTCAAGATCTTGTTGTTTTGAAAAGGGAAGTGAAAATTAACCTTTTGAAAATGGATTGTTGCAAGTCTAATGGGAAATATTACCCAATAATTACATAGGTTGGTTTGGTGTATGTGTGTGAACTATATCGTTCTACCTGATTTATATTTCAACAGGAATAGGTTAAATGTTTTAAATCATGCTCTAAGTATATGTTTTTGTGCAATTATGTGTAATTTAAAAAAGAGAGGAAGTGTAAAACATAATCAATCATTCTTATTGATTGGATAAAAAGAACTGATAAGGTGGCGTCAGAGCACTCGATCAATATCAGTAGGAAGTTAAATTCTGGTAAAACTACATTAGATGTTTTCAAAAAATCAATTAGTCATCATTAGGTAATTTAAAGAAAATTTCAATAAAAACCAAAAGAGTTGTGATAAAGGTAGGGAAAACATAAAAGTGAGGAACCATTCAACTTATCTTGCTTCAATAAAGGGATACACACCAATAAAAGTTGTTTGACCAACTCTTGTTTTATGACCTCTAATGCCATGTACTTCCAGAAGGATTGTTATATCCTTCTTGAGCTCTTTTCGTTTGGCTTTTTGCACGTCTTGCTAGTCATTAGGCCGAAAGGTAAAATTGTTTAGGTGCCTTGTAAACAGCAAATCCTGGAAGAAGGTAAAACCCGCCATTAACAAGACATGCCCTACGCAATTCTGTGGAATTTAATGCGAAGCAATTGCGCAAAGGTTACGTAACGTTGAAGAAACATAAATTTTAAGGCCTAAAAACAATGCCCTTTTAGAATAAAAATTTAATAAACCAATCAGTTAAAGGATAAAGAAAATAGTTTTTCCTTCCTAACTGATTTTTTTTTGTCCGGGTTCGTTTCTTAAGTCTTTTGTTGGATATTATTAGATTCTGCTTCCGTTTGTCATTTTGCACAGTCTACAGATTTGTAAAGAGTAGTATTTGAAGTATTTAAAAGAAGAATAGGAGATGAAAGGCAGTAAATAATATAACAGCAGCAGGAAAGGAGTGCTGAAGGATTGCAGGAGGTTGGAAAACAACCCAACTTTTATGGCACACTTTTTATGTCTTGTGAACCCTATTTTGGTTGCGTTGCCTGAATCCCTTTCATGTCTTCCGTAAATTGAAATATCATGTGAAAATCTTCTTTTCTTGAAAGTGTTTTTACGATTTTCTGTGACTAATTGTACAAATTTGACTTTTAATTGCCATTTTTTAAATTTTGATCACAAAAGGTGTCTGATGACCACAAAAATGAACAAGAATAAAAACCACCCTGAAAGCAAAACAGTAGCAAGCAAAGGCTTCCAATGGGTTTGGGTTTCAATCCCACTTTTATGGCCCACTCTGTTTGTTGGCTAACCCTTTTAGCAAGTTCGTTGCTTGAGTCTTTCGTTAGGGTATAACCCTCTATATAACACGGAAGTGTTTGAAAACAGTTAGCAACCCAGAATCGGTGGGAGGGTAAAACCCACTGCAGGCTACACATGTCCTGTGCAATTAAATCGAATTTCCCAGGAAACAAGGATGGTGCAGCTAATCCTGTCGGGACGATTCAGACCACGTATTTTGCAAAAGGTAGCGTTTCTGCGGCGAATTCGCAGTGCCGGCTATAATTTCCGAGCTGTTTTTTTTTTTTTTTTTTTGCCGAATTCAACGGCGGCGAACGGCGATCGGAATGCCGGCTCTCCGGCCGATAAACTCATAGATGAACGCAAGAAATCGGAAGCTTTCGGGGCTTCAGTTTGCCTTCGACTGTGGCGCGTTGTGGACGTCGAGAGGCTGCGGCAGAAACGAACTCTAGCCAAGTGTATGTATTGATCCGGCTCTGTTTGTGTGAGTGAGTGGAGAGAGATCCAACGAAAGCCGTTAAGAAGTTTAAGAAGGCGAGAGAAACAGAGAGAGAGAGAAACCTGAGCAGAGAGACTTGGGAAAATCTGTAAAACGGGCACGTCGAGCTCTTTTATTTTCCTCGCCAGTCTTGCATTTCCACCTTTTGCCGATCGCCTCTACCTTCTTTTCTGGCCTGTTCCTCCTCGCCTTCTCCTTCTTCTTCTTACGTTTTTGCTGTCGTGTCTTGTGGTCTTTGGGCAAACACGAACACGGGCGAGTGAGCGAGAGTGTGTGCGAGTGTGTGTGCGTGGACCGAAACTTCAGGTGCAGGCCGCGTTGATTTCGCTGAACAAGTTTCAGTCTGAGTTTGGCCTTCGTGTGGCATGGTACAGTAATCGCTCCCCGGATCCTCGGACCTCCTAGTGTCCTATAACAATATAACAGTGCTGTGAATGTATTCGCCTCGAAACTGGATTTTATTCGATTGTTTTGCCCAGCAATGTGTTTGATTTTGATTTTGTGCCTGTGTTTGTTTGCTGGCCAGCGCAAAAAGGATTCCTGTGCATTTTAATGGAGGCGCGTGCTTGGATCGTGTGTGTGCTCTATGAGGAAACAGACCATTAAATCGAATGCCTTTTCAATTGAAATAAAAGTGCAATGGATTAACTGCAAATTAAGGACAAACCTACAAAATCAGTGAACAAAATAAACATAAATAAACCCATTAATGGAAGAGAAACAAGCAATCAATTCAGGAATTTCCCTGTAAAATCCGAAATATTTCTTTTAAACATAGGAAGTCCATTTTAACTGGAACACTATTTCTCCACACAAATGCCGCTATTATGTTTTTTTAACCGAGCAAGTTAGTTGAACTCCTAGTATAATTTGTTCTCCCCGTTTTCTTTGCTTCTTTTTATTGTGAGCGGTTCGGTTTTTACCAGTCCATTAACTCGTCTGTGCCTTTTGCACTTTACTTTGCTAACTGACATTAGACTGCCGCCAAGTCGAGTTCCTGTGTGAGTAACTAGTCCATCGCCCAGGGAGTACATACTCCAGTACTCTGGCACTCTGGTACTCTGGCACTCTGGTACTCACTTCACATGCCAGCTGCGCATTTACGCTCCCATTAACCGGGTAGAAATAACAAACACTCGGGAAAAGAAGCAACAACTGGCCAACAAGTGTTTTGCGCAACTACCAAGAGAAATGGTGCGGCCAGAAACAACCACAAAAAGTTACCAAAAAAATAATAAGGGCTACCCAATTGCAGTCTGGGGTTAAAGTTGCACCAGCAACAAGTGCAAGCGGCTAAAGTTGGGTAACTTCGGTTTCAACTTACCACAAAGTTTGTGCCTTAAGTCTTTCGTTTGCTTTTTCAATCTCGAAAAACACAAATAGGAATTCTCGGGTTTTCACCTAATTAACATAAATATTTCTTGGAACATTTTGGTGAGCTCGAAACCAAAGCGTTCCCAACGCATTTCCAAAACGTGCTTCGACTTGTGAAGATAATTCTTGGGTTGACTTGTTTCGGATCTCTTCCACGGCATGCATAATTAAACAGACCCAACCCCATTAGACAAACTATAGATAGTCGGGCCAGGCGAACAGATCATAAATTACATTTATGTGACGCGTTTTCATTTGGCTTAGCTTTTATTTATATTTTTAATCAACTCAAATATCTCCCAGCAGTGCAACAGTGGCCTTGTTCGTTAAAAAGTATAACTAAATAAAAAGAAAAAGAGCACTAAAGAGTTGCCATTAAAAAACTGACACCGCAGTTGTCGGGAAAGGGAAAAAAACCGTCGCTTTTGTCGATTTTGCTGACCTCAAGGATAACCAGCTGACATGCCACATAAATTGGAATACTAAGCATTCGCGAACGCTACATATCGAACCTATATCTACATAGTGGTTATATATACAGACACAGCTGCATTTATAAGAGGTGAGTTGCATATTGAAATGGCTGCGAATTAACAGTAAAAGCGTGGAAGGTAAAAACAACTTCGATTGGATACGCGAATATTGGCTGTATAGTATAAACTTTATGAGAGAATACTTAGCCTTTGATCTGCAGATGACGTTATGTTCCACTGCTTTAAGGCTGACATCATTACATGCCATCACTAAAAAACAGTTTCCAACTATCAATCAATAAACAATAATGAAATAAAAACCGATTTCGAGACACGCCTCATTTTGAATTCAGCCATTGCGCAAATATTCAATTATGAATCTACATGCATTTAAGCCATAAACAATGCCATGCTTTCGTTTTACCCAACGATTTGCAATTAAACTTCGCTTTAATTGTGCTTAAACAATTGATTGACTCCACTGATTGAGCAAACAATTGCTGTATCGAGTGTGGTTATGCTATAGGCCATATAAAGACTCCAATACCGATTCCCACTTACCCATAAAAAGTAGCACACCCCAACAACAATAAGAACAATTTCTTTACTTTCTATTAAACAAAACCTAAAAAGCTTCGATTGTCTGTCGGCCATGTCTGACTCGCCTTTGTTGTCACATTCATTCAATAAAGGCCAAGTCGCTCTCCCCGTAACCCCCAATCCCCCAAACCCTCTCGAGAAGCCGAAAAGCTAAAAAGCGAGAGCTACCCAAACAGTTAACCTCAATTTCAAGACGCACTCTGCGCGCCGTTGTTGTTGCTTAATAACAGAGCCGAAACAACCATAGAAGTAGTAGAAAATTTCACTCAACCCAAAGTGAAAAGCAGAACAAATGACGTACAAGACTAGCACAAAAGCCCTCTCATCACATCTATA